TCGCCTAGCATGCCGCATTGGGTGCAAGCACTGCCCTGACGCGCTCAAGGACTACCTCAGCTGCGTTCTATTTCGGAAGCAAGTGGAAGGGGAACTTGGCCACGCGCGCCCAGCTACTGCACTTGGGCGCCTCGGGCTGCTAGGAAGTGTAGTTGAGCTCGATCGCATCGTGTGTGACGCCGTGGTCATGTACTACACCTATGTTGGCGCGGCCCATGGCTCAGCGGCACGCATTTGGCCACCAGAGACTGTGCGCTCGCATGTAGAGGCCGCCATACGCACTGCTCAACTTGGGGTGACTGCCCCGTCATTGGCTCCTGTTGCGTCTGCTTGTCGGGCGCGTCGCTCACGGGGGCCCTCTGCCCCGTCGCGCTCGGCGTCTGCCTCGTCGTCCATCTCGTCTTCCAGCTCACCGCCCTCTTCCCCTCCAAGCTCGCCCAGCACGTCACCTTCGTTTTCCCATGTCAGGATTGTGGAGGCGGCCTTCGATTTGATCGGCCCTCTTCCCTCTGATGATCGCGCCGAGGAGGAGGAGTGGAGGATCTTGGGTTGCGGTTGTGTGGCAGGTGAATGCCCCCAGCTATATGAGAGACCGAAGCACGCGCCTGCTCCGCCAGGGCCCATTGAGGCCCAAGTGCAGCCTCCCCCGATATGGCGGCCCCGTTCGCTGCCATGCCTGGGAGCGGCCTTATCCATGATCTTCCCTGCTTGCACGCGATTGAAGCCTGTGGCGACCTGCCCCGCCGACCGTCTGCGCAGAATGCTGCCGAGGTCAGCGGCGACCTGCTCCGCCTACCACATCGTTTGCATGCGGCTGAGGTCACTGGCGAACTGCTCCGCATACTGACTGCTCTGGATGCGGCTGAGGTCTGCGGCGACCTGCTCCGCCTGCGGTTTTCTTTGAATGTGGCTGAGGTTTGCGGCGACCTGCCCCGCCTACCGTCTACCCAGAACGTGGCTAAGGCCTATGGCGGCCTGCCCCATCTTCCCGCGGTTCCTGCCGCTGGTGATTCAAGTGGCGCACAATTTCACGGTCCTGTCCGCCCGATGGCTGCCTCGGCGCTCGCATTCACTCCACGCGCTGGGGCGACTGGAAGCAAGGAACGCCTTCGCCGAGGGGAGGCTGATCACGCTCACTGTTTCTGAGACTCCTCGGCGCTTGCTCGCCCACGGCTGCATGCGCCCGGTGATGGTGTAACCCCTGAGCGACGTGTTCACCGCATGCGGCGAGAGATGATCAACCGGGCTACGGCGCGGGCTAGCAGTTGGCCACCTTCTCTGCACTACCAAAGCGAGGCGGACAACTTCGCCACCTGGCTCGACTGGTGCGCCGACTACGTATATGGGTCGTTGTTATACTCCCCCTTCGTTGCCCACATCACCCGCATCATCGAACGCAGGGGAGGCCCTCAAGAGCGCCATCGTCGGCGCGAGGCGGAGGATATCTGCATGACGGCCCACTACGGCAGCGCTATCACTCGTGAGCGTCTACGTCGAAAGCTGCCTGGCGCACTGCTCAATCCGACGGACGAGATCGTGAAGCTTCTGGTGAAGCTCTCCAAGCAGCACTACGACATGCTCACCTGGCGCCCTGACCTGTCACGCATGCCGGTCGACTCGCGCGCCCGCTTCTTGACGCGGGCAGGAAATTGTGACCCTGGGAGGCATGGCAGAGACATGAGAAACGACCTCCGCGCCGAACGCTCAGATCGCCAACCTGATCGCCACGCGAGGCTTCGCCGTCGACGACATTGAACTTGAAACGATGGAGCAGCTGCTAAAGACATGGAATCGTCCGAGGATCACTGCCCGCCCAACGAGACTGAGGCACACCAGCAACCTGTTACGGAAGCGGATGATCACCCGTCCCTTGCCGATGCTCACTTGGTGCTCATGGGAGAAATTCAAGCCGATCATGTCCAAGGGTTGCCGCCGCCTGCCGCTTACGAGAGCGACATGATGTCGGATGACGAGCGCCTTGCCTTCATGGCCTGTTTCGAGCTCGCCTGGGCCATCACCGCCCGGTGCTGACTCCGACGTTTTCACATGGATGAGCCCCGCCGCAGCATCATGTGCGACGCTGCTGCCTGCTGCCACCCCAGTGGGCACGTCCCCGCCACGAGAATGCCGCCCTGGACTGAACGACCACAGTGGCGAGGGAGAGGACAGCGATCTTGATGATGAGTGGTCTGATGTCGAAGGCTCGGCGACAACCCCCGACGTGCCCGCGCCATCATTCCATTCTACACTCGCGCCTGCATCGCAGCCGACTTCGCCTCCAGTGGATGATCACGCAGAGGCTGAACTTCATCGCAATTGTGTTCGCGACCCTTCCGATCGGCGGCCTGCCGGACATGAACTCCACGCTGCACACGCTGATGGACAAGGGCACGTGCTGGGCCCCATGAATTTCTGACGCTGGGCCTTGGAGCAAGCACACGGCCGTGGGCACTACGACTGGGCAGCTGCCGTCAACTTCTCGCGCGACAGCTCGCGTTTGAGGTTATTGCGCAAGGCGTTGATCCGCGCCCGATTTCGCAAGCTAAAGCGTGGGCAACCTCCGTGGCAGCGAACCTATGACGATGGAACTAACAGGGGGCCCTGCCGATCCAGATGTGATTTCTGAACAGCAGATCGAGTCCGCTCTGCGCACGCTGGACATCCTGTGCCCTGTGATCTGCGGACAAAAAGGAACTGATCCAGTGGATGCTAAACAATCCTGCAAGCCTCCTGGGCGCTGACGATGAGCTACCATATGCTGCTGAGCTAGAGCTAGTCCCTGCCCCCCGGTGTTCATGAACATATTGTTGACGAGCCTGTCTTTCTCGAGTTCCTCGCGGCCGAGGACGCGATGCTGTGCGACGCGGAGGACGCGGGCGACCCTTCCATCAGCGCCCAGCTGATCGCTGCCGCCTCGCCTCCTGATGGCGCTCATCTTCATCCTGCCGAAGCCCATGTAGGCACCTCCGCGGTCGTCGAGGGCGCCTTCCCTGACCGCGCGCCCATCGGCCCCGCGGCGCTGGCGGCGTTCGGCGGCGCCGACGGTGCCCCCACTTCCTTCGTCGCCCACGGCGCGCTCTTCCCCGACTGCGACCCAGCGGGCATTCTCGTCGGCGAGTTCGACGCGCGCATGCTGGCCATCGACGGCGTCGCCTTCGCGGACGCCGACCTCCCCGCTCCGAGCGGCCCCGCGAGCCGCGCGGTGGGCGCAAGCGGGCCCTGAGGAGTTTGGATTATTCGCCTCAGGAGCGCTCGCTCCTCCTCCTCCTCCTCCTCCTCCTCCTCCTCCTCCTCCTCCTCCTCCTCCCCCTCCTCCTGGTTCCTGTCTCCTGATAGCATGGCTGCCGCTTCTCCCAGGAATGGCTGTCTGGCCAGCCCTGGGGGAGCATGATGCAACTGTAGAAGGACAGGTTTCCAGAAGACAGACTGGGAGGAGGAGGGAGGAAGGAGAGGGCATCACATCGTCATATCATCAAATCGCAGCGAAAAGGTGGGAGAGGTAGCTGGTGAGACGCTCGCGACGGCAGCAGATTGAAAGGGTTGAGAGGCCCGCGGGCCTTGTCAGGGCCTCCCCTCGTTCGGGTCTACCGGCCCCGTTTGGCCAGCGCCCTAGAGGGTGCCCAGGGCCCCCCTTTTTTGCGGTGCCCCGTTCTTCCAGGCTGCGTGCTGGGGAGCGTGGATGATGGATGCGTTCTATGCGTGTTCACCCCTCTCGCGTAAGTACGGTGGGCGGACGCTCCTGCGGCAGATGCTGCGCAAACAATGCTGAGCAAAAAATGGCTGCCTGAGCTGGCGTCGTCGGCCAAGCCAAGGCCGTCGAGGCCGGCGACTGCCCGCGGCGGGGAGGGAGAAAGAAGTAGTTGGGAAAGCCTGCGCGGAAAGCTGGCACGAGGGCGTAAAATAATAGGAAGCAAGAGGAGGTAAGACGCAGCACGGCGAGAGGTTGGGCGACGCGGCCGTTCGCGGCTGAGGAGGTAAAGGTGCGACTGCTGCTCGCAGTATGGCGCGGGCAGCGGCGGCGGTCCCTAGCCGCGCTCGTCGAGTCGGACGGCCCAAGGGCTTCTCCTTCTGCTCAAAGGAATCCCCTAGTGGCGCCCCCGAGGTTAAAGGCGGGATCCTGCGCCTACAGGCAGGTATAGGGCTCCCAGCACTTTGACCTCGGGGCCGCCCTGGGGGGTTTCACCGAACGCGAGGGAGGTTTGGGTCATCCTGGCGGCGGCGGGCGCCACTCGCCGCAAGCGGTGGGCCAGCCGCGCTCGCCAAATGGGAGGGCAGAAGAGCTTCTCCCACTGCGCATCGGAAATCCCCCGAAGTGTCCCCCATCCCCGCGACTGGCACCCTCACCTGCAAGCAGGAGTAGGGCACCCAGACTACGGAGGTGAGGGCCACTTGGGGGATTTCCACCGTGCTCGTGGGAGGCATCTGCCTTCCGCGGCGGTGGCCAGGTGACAGTTGGCGCGACGTGCCCCCCCATCCAACATCTTCCGACACATCAGCCCGCTATCTGGTAGCGCAGGCAACGCGCGGTTGCAACTGCGTGGTTGAGGTGGAAGTAAAGGTTTTGTTTATAAGAGTGATTGGCACAGCGAGGCAATGCGATGGGCCCCTGCTGGGCGCGAGGCACGGTGCGCGCGACGCTGCTCCTGCGGTGTGCCGTAAGGTGGCTTGGCTGCCTGCTGACTGCGTTGCGCTGTTGGTTGCGCCTCCTCCCCCTCCTCCTCCTCCTCCTCCTCCTCCTCCTCCTCCTCCTCCTCCTCCTCCTCCTCCTCCTCCTCCTCCTCCTCCTCCTCCTCCTCCTCCTCCTCTCCTCCGTTGCCATGTTGGCCCAAGCCGCATGCTAGGTCAGGGCCTCAAACGCGCCCTACTCTCTGCCGCATGTCTTTGGCTGCTGGCGCCGCTCTTGTGGTGTGCATGGCTCAGTGCAGGCGACGTGGCCCATCAACGTTCCGCTGCAGCGCGTGCCGATCGGGCTCGTCGCGCTCGTCGCCCAGGCTATCTGCATGTTCCTCCCCCTGGCCACCGGTTTATCGCGGTGCCCGCTGCGCTTTATGAGAGTGCGAAGTGCGCGTGTCAAGGGCTCGCTCTGCACGCCCATCCACAAGCTGATAATGGAGTGCGTTCTCACGGGCTTCGTCAGGCCGCTCTCCTTGCCAGCGACCGTGTGGGACCCGATGCGACGGCTGCTCATCTCCGTGCTCACGTTCGTGCTGGACGAGCCAAACATCGTGTGCCACCTGTACCTGTCCCGGAGGCTGGCGCTGGACCGGGGGCGGTGGCTGCTGGCGCCCCACCGCAGGCGTCGCGTTGTATTACACGATCTCCTACCTCCTCGTGCCTGTGCGTCTGGTGACATTGCGGCCCTGCTCAAGTCTGTCCAGCTTCTGGTCAACGTGCGCATGTCCGTGCCGTCGGTGAACCAGGTGTTCCCCGTCGGCTGCTGCGCAGGCTCTGATCTGCAGAAGGTGTCTGGCTATACCAATTCTCTCGCTAGCTCTTCTGGTCCGCGCAGTGTCCTCACTGCCTCCTCGCCTACGCCGCCGCGTGCGGCTGTGAATTCGTCCATCGCGTCCGACCTCGACTTCGAGACCGAGCTTTGCTTGTTCGAGGAATTGGCTGCTCGTCAGTGTCCTCCCGATCTGCATGCCGAACATCTGCAAGACCGCCGAGCAGGTGGTCTTCCTCATGTGGCCTCGGCGTCGTGCATTTCGGCGCCCCCTTCGGCGTCGGCGGGTTCTGCGGCATCCCCACCGCGTGCTATCTCGACGCCGAGTGGTTCTTCTGGCGCCCGTTGTTTTCGGTGCGGGGGCTCCACGGTGTTCATCCGCAACGATCTCCGGCCTTGCGAGTGCCCTGGAGCGCAGATCGACTGGTCGAGCATTCCTGGTTACGCTGACCTCGTCTTTGTCGAAGACTCCGACGGCGACCATGCCAAGGCCAGCAATGACGACAACACCTGAAGAGTAACGACACGGACAAGGACATTGTCAAAGATAAGAACAATAATAAGGACAAAAACAATGACCCAGACAACGCCATGGTCAAGGAAGGCGACGAAGACAACGACGGGGACAATGATAATATCAAGGATACGGACAAAGACAAGAACACGGACATTGTCACGTACCTGGGCGACGTCGCCGCTCCTCCTGCATGGTCTATGGGAGATCACATCTGGCTTCACGGCCTCAATACAGCCTCGCTGAACGGCACGGGTGGTGTCATCTCACAGCTGCACGCTGGCCGCGACCGCTTCGGAGCCCAGGTCCACTCGGGGAAAACCGTCGCCACAAAAATCCACAACCTCATCAAAGTCATTACTTCGAGTTTTCCTTCGAGGACTTCTTCACCATGTTCGTCGGCTTCGTCGCCTTCGAAGACATGAGCGGCGCCGCGGCGCCGGGAGGAGGGACCCGCGCTCCCGAGCACGATCGACTCCTCCTCCTCCTCCTCCTCCTCCTCCTCCTCCTCCTCCTCCTCCTCCTCCTCCTCCTCCTCCGCCCCGGAGGGGCACCCCCATAAGTGGGGTGTCGGGCCAAAGCGCCCCCTGGCGGAGGCGGGGACCGCCGGGTCTTCGGGGGACAAGTCCCCGCGCCCGGGATGGCCCCCAAAGCGGGGTCCCCTTCCCGGGGGGCCCCCGGCCACGCAGCCTCCCACGGGAGCCTGGCTACTCACCCAGGTGTCCCCCGTGGGAGTCGTGGCTGGGGTGTCCGTCTTCCCCGTCGTGTCGTCGCCGTCGCTGTCGTCGTCTGTCGTGTCGTTGCGGGCCCCTGGGGTGGGTGGTGGGGGTGTGGTGGGGCCTGGCCCCTGTCCGTTCTGTCGGGGGCCGGGTGTTTCCGGCTGGGTGTTGTCCGTCCGACAGAACGTGGCGGGGGAGCTGGCCCTGCCACCCCCGTGCTGCCCGCTTGCGGGGGGCCCGCCCGCGCCGTGAGCGCCCGGCGGCCCGCGGCGCGCCGCGGCCGCGGCGGCGCGCGCGTCTGTTTTCGGGCCTGTGGCCAATCGGCCTTGACTTGTTCGTCAGGCGGCGTCTCATCTCATCTCATCTCATCTCATCTCATCTCATATCATATCCTTCTCCTCCTCCTCCTCCTCCTCCTCCTCCTCCTCCTCCTCCCTCCGCCTCCATTCCCTCTCTTCCCCCTTATAGGTAATCCCCCCCTGTCGCACCCCGAGGCCAGTCGAAAGGGCGGACTGCGCTTTTCGCCAGAGATTTCCTCACCACCCACGGCCCTGGAGCTTAGACTTTGCAAGAGGTTGACGGATGGAGGGCGCGCCGTTTTCAAAATGCGAGTCACGCCTGAGCGCCGCGCACATTCGCTATAAAAGTGTGCAAGGATTCCACGGATGGAGGGCAACCCGTTTTCAATATATGTGGAAGTCGCTTCGGTGCCGCTTGTCTTGAAGTTTCGCAAAAGCTTCACGGATGGAGGGCCGCTTCCTCCAAAAATGTGGCTATCGTTCCACCGCCGCGCACATTTGTTTTAAAAGTTTGCCAACGCTTCACGGACGCAGGGCGGCTCTTTCTCAAAATGTGGTTCTCGCTATAGCGTCGCGCACATCCGCTTCAAGAGCTTGCAACAGCTTTAAGGTTTCCACGATTAACGTCCAAGAGATGGTGAGTCGGCACGACGTCGGAACGCCAGGGCGCAACAGACACGTTGATTCGCGGTGTTGAAGTCCCAGGATGGCTGTTCTGGCACAAGTTAGGATCGCCAAGGCGCAACAGTTACGGTAATTCGTGGCGCTGATTTCCCTGAAATGGCGTTCTGGCACAATTCAAGAGTTTCAAACGGTTCTTTCCCAAAGGAGCATTTCCTCGAGTGGGGCTTAATCCGAATAGGGGCTTACGAAGCGGGAATTGAGAGGAAAGTTGATTGCAAGGTCGTTGGCATTGGATTTAAACTGGTCCTCCTCCTCCTCCTCCTCCTCCCCTCCTCGTCCTCCTCCTCCTCCTCCTCCTCCTCCTCCTCCTCCGCCTCCTCCGCCTCCTCCCCGTCCTCCTCCTTCCGCCTCCTCCTGTATTGGATTTACATTGGTCCGCCTCCTGCTGCTCCTCCTCCTCCTCCTCCCTCCTCCTCCTCCTCCTCCTCCTCCTCCTCCTCCTCCTCCTCCTCCTCCTCCTCCCCTCCTCCTTTTTCTTCCTCCTCCTCCTCCTCCTTTTCCTCCTCCTCCTCCTCCTCCTCCTCCTCCTCCTCCTCCTCCTCCTCCTCCTCCTCCCTCCTCCTCCTCCTCCGCCTCCTAGCGGCATCGCGGGTCCCTTTGCCTCTCCTTCCTTCCCTCCCTCTTCCTCCCCCTCCTTATCCTTCCTTCCTTTCTTCCTTCCTTCTCCTCCTCCTCCTCCTCCTCCCCCTCCTGTTCCTCCTCCTTTTTCTTCTCCTCCTCCTCCTCCTCCTCCTCCTCCTCCTCCTCCTCCTCCTTCCTCCTGGGCGCCCAAGCCGTTGCGCCCAGCTTCCCTATGATTTGGTGGTCGGCTGCACTCGCAGCCCGTCACTTCTCCATGTGCGGAGGCCAGTTTCGTACCCTCGTCCGGCTGTCGAGTCATCCAGCCGTCGTGGTCGACGAACCGGCGTGCCGCAGCAAATTGGCCCTCGCCCCAAGGCGCGCGGCGACAGCCCACTACGTAGGCAGGCCGCCCCCGGCCCGCCTCAGCAGGGGTCCCGGACGAGGCGGGCCGCCGCGACGCCTCCGCACCGGGCGGCGGCGGTTGCTTGCGGTCGACGACGCCGGCGGCGGCGGCCGTGGCTGCTACGACGACGACGACGACGACGACGACGACGACACATCGGATCAATATTTGAAGGCCCCGGGGCCCTAGATTCCGAAACCCTGGAAAAATGTAGACGATGGGTCGACGACGACGACGACGACGACGACGACGACGACGACGACGACGACGACGACGGCGACGAGTGGACGAGCGGACGAAACTATACTACAAACGCAATGGCGATTGGCAGAGCGAGTGGCGGCACAATTACACAAGGTGGACAAGACTCGACGCAGCTTGGAATCCGGAGGTCCACGACACCCGACCAGTAAAGCGCAGACCTGGTGGGCAACTCAAGCGGTGGCGCGACGACATTTCACAGCTCATCTACCACACCACTGGGGAGGGCACCAAATGTTGTTACATTATTCCTGTGATCAAATAGCTGGGAGCACGCCATCCTCCAGCACATGGAGCGAACAGCCCCGACACACCCGCGCTGCCCATGAGGGGCCCGGTGGCCGGCCAGCCGGAGGACTCGGCGCGCTCTGCTCCGCTCCGCGGGACCGCCACAGGAAGAAGCAAGCAGAAGAATGAGAAGAAGAATAAGAAGAAGCAGAAGAAGAACGCAGAAACAATTCGCGAGGCGCCTTTGAAATCTAGGGGCCCCAACCCTGGAGTGCTGATATCTGTGATGGTTTGTGGTCCTTTCCGCGGCGGGTTGAGGCGTGTCATTCCAGACCCCGCCGCGTCGTGAAGAAATTACGGCGGAAGGCTTTGGGCAATTTCTGGCTTCTGGGGGCTGGGGTGAAGGAGTCGAGACCTCCAGGAGTCCACGCTGCGGGAAGAAAACACGACGACGCAGGCCACCTGGAGCATCCAACCCCATCTCAGTGACCGGTTTTACGCAGTGCGTCGTTGTTTGCTGGCCTCGAGCACCTAAATGCCCCCCCAACGGCCGAAATCATGGCGATGGACCCCCCCCGCTGTCCTCGTCGCGTCGCCCGGAGGACCCAGGCAGCGAGGGAGGTCGTCACCGTCACAGTCGCCGTTGCCGTCGCCGACAGCCATCAAAGGCACGCAGGCCCGCAAGTGCACGCACGCGAGAGAGCTCCTCCCTCGTCGTCCTCCTCCCTCCTTTTCTTTCCTTGCGCGCTGGATATTGGTGGCGGGCAGCCAGTGCCGAAGGGTCTTCTCGCCACGGTTGGGCACAGCGTCCCCGCTCTTAGGGTCGACGATGTGGGCTTCCCCTGAGGAAGAGGAGGAAGAAGAAGAGACAGAGAGAGAGAGAAGGATGAGGAGGAGGAAGAAGAAGAGGAGGCTGAGGAGGAGGAGGAGGAGGAGCAGACAGAGACAGGAGGAGGAGGAACCGGAGGAGGAGGATCAGGAGCAGGAGGATGGTGGTGATGGTGATGATGATGATGATGATGATGATGATGATGGTGATGAAGGTGATGATGGTTATGGTGATGGTGATGATGATGATGCTGATGATAATAATGGTTGGTGATGCTGATGCTGATGCTGCTGCTGCTGCTGCTGATGATGATGATGACGATGACGACGATGACGATGACGATGACGATGATGATGATGATGATGATGATGATGATGATGATGATGATGATGATGATGATGATGATGATGATGATGATGATGATGATGATGATGATGATGATGATGATGATGATGATGATGATGATGATGATGATGATGATGATGATGATGATGATGATGATGATGATGATGATGATGATGATGATGATGATGATGATGATGTGATGGTGATGGTGATGGTGATGGTGATGGTGATGGTGATGATGGTGATGGTGGTGGTGGTGGTGGTGATGGTGATGGTGATGCTGGTGGTGCTGGTGCTGGTGCTGGTGATGATGATGAGGGGGAAGCGGCGCGGGTCCTCCGGCGGCAGCCCCAGCCGTGGCCGCGCACCCCGGGGACCCGCGGGCAGCCGCTCGCCCCGGCCGCCGGCCTGTCGCCGCAGGAGGCGCGCCGCCTCGAGGCCGCGCTGCAGGAGGCGCAGCAGTAGCAGCCAGGCCATGCCGGAGCGGACAGGCGCATGATCCCAGACCCCGTTTGGCCCCCGGGCCCTGGCTGCCCCCCCCTGGCCTGGTTCCGCCCTCCCGGCCCCCTGGGCCTTGCCGCCCTCCGTCGCCCTCCCCCCCCCCGCTCTCCTTTCCCCCTCCTGGTCTCCCCCCTGGGCCGCCCTCCTCCGCCTTTCCCCTGCCCTCCTCTCTCCCTCTGCCCCCGGGCCGCCTTGGGCCTTGTTTGGCCTCTGCCCCTGGCTGGCCTGGCCTGGTCCGCCCTCCCGCCCCGGCCTCTACAGAGCCATCCTGCGCCTCCGCCCGCTGCGCAGCAGCCCGCTCCCAACGGGGCTGCCGGGGGCTGCCCCCGCGCGGCACTCCACCAGCTGCGTGCCGGGGGGGGGGGCGCCGGAGGGCGCCCTCCCGGGGGGGACGGAGGGCGTGCGCCTCCCGCGTGGCGTCGGGCGTCACCCTCCATGCCCTCGGCCGTGGGGAGGGCCACCGCGTGGCAGGCAGCCGCCCGCGGAAAGAGACGGCCGCGCCGGGCGGCCTGGCCGGCCGCGGGGCGTCGACTGGGCGCGCCTCGTGAAGCCGCGCGGAAGGAAGGAATGAGGAGGAGGAGGAGGAGAAGGAGGACGAGAGAAAACCCAAGGCGCATAAACGATGCTGAAATACACACTCCCTCCGACATCTTCCTTTATAGACCCCATACAACTGACATATTTTCATTGCGGGAGTACCCCATTGGAAAACAGCCGCATGATCAAGCAGTGGCGAAGCGTCCTGGCTTGCCTATAATTAGCCCTATAAGCAATGTTCTAAGAACCGATTGCGGTTTCCACGAAATGTTATCAGAACATATCTGGCGGAGCATTTCTTGTTTTATCACATCGGGCTTGTGTTCTAAGAACAGTGCTTTTGGTTTTAGAACATTTCTAGGTTCTAAAAACATTTCGTGGTAGAACTATAGGAATACCGGGACGGTTGGTCCCTGCTCAACATGAGAATCTTCAATTTTGCCGAGACGCCGCGCTTGGGATTTCAACACCGCGCATCAGTGTGACTGTTGCGCCCAGACAATCTTACGTCGTGCCATAGCACCAATCCTGGGATTTCAACCGCATGCACCCTATCACAACGAATGATCATGGCGCTAAGGCGAGAGCCACATTTTGAGAAGGAACCGTTGTCCATCCGCGAAACCGCTGCACATGTTCAAGACGAATGTGGGCGGTACCAAGACAAGAGCGGCATTTTGAAAATGGCCCGCCCCCCATCCGTGACATTGTTGGAAAATTCCCAAACGAGTGCGCGATCCGCTAAGGCGAGAGCTACATTTTGAAAACCACCCGCCCTCAATCCGCGGAGCTGTTGCAAATTCCAAGTTTCAAAGCCATGAGTGGTAATGAAGTCGCAGGCGAAACGCCAAGCCCGCCGTTTTTTCCCCCACATCCTGACTGGGGTTCTTGTTTTCCCAGAACATCCTCTCCTTCTCCCTCCCGCCTCCCGCCTCCCATATCAATACCATGCTTACCACTCCAGCCTCCCATATCATACCATGCCTACCATTCCATACCATACCTACCATACCATACCATACCCTCCAGGGAGGCCCCGCCTGAGCGAGGAGGGTATCGGAAACCCATACCATTTACATGGATTCGTGCCCTTCCCACCTCTCCAGGGAGGCCACGCCTGAGCGAGGAGGGTATCGGAAACCCATACTATTTACATGGTTTCGTGCCCCTCCCACCCCTCCAGGGAGGCCCCGCCTGAGCGAGGAGGGTATCGGAAACCCATACAAGGGGCACGCGTGCCAAGGATCATACAATCGCGGATGCGAGACAGACGGCAGATGGCAATGGCGCCAAGGTCCGGTAGGGGGGGTGGGGGGGCGCGCAGGGAAGCACGGAGGCAAGGGGAGGGGGGCGCAGGGGAGGAGCGGGGGGAGAGGGCGCACGGTCGGAATGAAGTGAGGGGAGCCCGGGGAAGGCGGGGGAAGCACGGGGGAGAAGGCGCGGAGGCCCGGGAAGAATGGGGGGAGCACCGGGGCAACGGAGAGGGCGCAGGGGACGGGCGGGGGGAGAGCGCACGGTCGGAATAAGGGGAGGGGCCTCCGGGAAGATGGGGGGCACGGGGGCAAGAGGAGGGAGGCGCAGGGGAGGGGCGGGGAGGGCGCACGGTCGGAATAAGGGGGGGGGGTCCGGGGAGGGCGGGGGGAGCACGGAGGGGAGGAGCGGGGGGAGGGCGCACGGTCGGAATAAGGGAGGGGGGCCCGGGGAAGGCGGGGGGGGCACGGAGGAGAAGGCGCGGGGGCCCGGGGAGCGTGGAGGGAGCACGGGGGCAAGAGGAGACAAGCGCAGGGGAGGAGCGGTGGAGGGGGACACACGGTCGGAATAAGTGGAGGGGGGCCCGGGGAGGGCGGGGCGGGCACGGGGGGCAGGGCGGGGGAGCCCGGGGGGCGTGGGGGGAGCACGGAGGCATCGGGAGAAGGGCGCAGGGGAGGGGCGGGGGGAGGGCGCACGGTCGGAATAAGGGGAAGGGGCATCCAGGCAGACGGGGGGCACGGAGCCAAGAGGAGGGGGGTGCAGCGGGGGGATGGCGCACGGTCGGAATAAGGGAGGGGGGCCCGGGGAGGGCGGGGGGAGCACGGAGTAGAAGGCGCGGAGGCCCGGGAAGACTGGGGGGAGCACGGGGACAACGCCAGAGGGGCGCAGGGGAGGAGCGGGGGGAGGGCGCACGGTCGGAATCAGGCCAGGGGGGCCCGGGGAAGGGGGGGCACGGAGGCAAGAGGAGGGAGGCGCAGGGGAGGAGCGGGGGGAGGGCGCACGGTCGGAAGAAGAGAGGGGGGCCCGGGGAGGACGGTGGGAGCGTGGAAGGGGAGGAGCGGGGGGGGGCGCACGGTCGGAATAAGGGGAGGGGGGCCCGGGGAGGGCGGCGGGAGCACGGAGGAGCAGGCGCGGGAGTCTGGGGAGCGTGGGGGGAGCACGGGTGCAAGGGGAGAGGGGCGCAGGGGAGGAGCGGGAGAGGAGGGGCGCACGGTCGGAATAAGGGGGGGGGCTCGGGAAAGGCGGGTGGAGCGCGGGGGAGAAGGCGCGGAAGCTCGGGGAGCGTGGGGGGAGCACGGGGCGAAGGGAGCGGGGCGAATGGGAGGAGCAGGGGGGCAGGTGCACGGTTGGAATAAGGGGAGGGGGGCCCGGGGACGGCGGGGGAAGCACGGGGGAGAAGGGCGCGGGGGCGCGGGGAGGGTGCGAGGAGGACGGGGGCAAGAGGAGGGAGGCGCAGGGGAGAGCGGGGGGAGGAGGGGGGGGGGGGCGCACGGTCGGAATAAGAAGTGGGGGGGGCTCGGGGACGGCGGAGGGAGCACGACGGAGGAGAAGGCGCGGGGGCCGGGGGGCGTGGAGGGAGCACGGGGGCAAGGAGAGAGGGGCGCAGGGGAGGAGCGGCGGGGGAGCGCACGGTCGGAATAAGGGAAGGGGGGCCCGGGGAAGGCGGGGGGAACACGGGGGACAGGGCGCGTGGGCGTGGGGAGGGTGGGGGGAGCTCAGGAGCAAGGAAAGGGGGGCCATGGGGAGGAGCAGGCAGGGGGGCGCACGGTCGGAATAAGAGAAGGGGGGCTCGGGGAACGCGGGAGAAGCACGGGGGAGAGGGCGCGGGGGCCCGGGGTGGGTGGGGGGAGCACGGGGGCGGGAGAGGCGCGCAGGGGAGGAGCGGGGGAGGGGGCGCACGGAAGGAATGGGGAGGGCGGGGGGAGCACGGCGGAGGGCGCTTGTGGAGGCCCAGGGTGGGGGGAGCACGAGTGCAAGGGGAGGGGGGCGCAGGGAAGGAGGGGGGGGCCAGCACGACCATCAGCATGACCGCCAGCACGACCAGCCACCAGCACGACCACCAGCACAAGAACCAGCACGACCACCAACACGACCAGCAGCACCTCCAGCACTACCAACCACCAGCGAGGGCCGGGGGAGCACGGCGGAGGGCGCTTGTGGAGGTTCAAGGTGGGGGGAGCACGAGTGCAAGGGGAGGGGGGCGCAGGGAAGGAGCGGGGCGCCAGCGCGACCACCAGCCAGACCGCCAGCGCGGGCAGCAACCATCACGACCACCAGCACAAGAACCAGCACGACCACCAACACGACCACCAGCACCTCCAGCACTACCAACCACCAGCACGACCACCAGCACGACCACCAGCACGACGACCAGCACAACCACCAGCACGACCACGAGCACGACCAGCCACCAGCACGGCCACCAGCACCTCTACAAGCACGACCTCCAGCACAACCACCAGCACGACCACCAGCACGAGCACCAGCACATCCACAAGCACGACCAGCCACCAGCACAACCACCAGCATGACCACCAGCACGACAAGCAGCACAACCACCAGCACAAGGGAGAGCAGCAGGCCCAGCCAACAGCACCGGGCCAGCAGCACGACCACCAGCAGGACCACCAGCACCTCCAACAACCACGACCACCAGCACGACCAGCCAGCACCACCAACCACCAGCACGACAACCAGCACAACTAGCAGCACGACCACCAGCACAACCACCAGCACAACCACTACCAACCACCAGCACGGCCACCAGCACATCCACAAGCACGACCACCAGCACAACCACCAGCACGACCACCAGCACGACCAGCCACCAGCACGGCCACCAGCACCTCCGCAAGCACGACCACCAGCACAACCACCAGCACGACCACCAGCACAACCACCAGCACGACCACCAGCAGGACCACCAGCAGGACCACCAGCATGACCACCAGCACGACCAGCCAGCACCACCAACCACCAGCACGACAACCAGCACAACCAGCAGCACGACCACCAGCACAACCACCAGCACATCCACTACCAGCGACCAGCACGACCACCAGCACATCCACCAGCACGACGACCAGCACAACCACCAGCACGACCACCAGCACGACCAGCCACCAGCACGGCCACCAGCACCTCAACAACCACGACCACCAGCACAACCACCAGCACGACCACCAGCACAACCACCAGCACAACCACCAGCACAACCACCAGCAGGACCACCAGCACGACCACCAGCAGGACCACCAGCAGAGCGCACGGTCGGAAAGCTGGCCGCTCCCGCCTTGCGGTGTGGGCCGTGCGAGACCTCTCTGACACAGTGTCTGGCACAGTCTTTGGCCCCCTTCTCCAGTGCCTGGTCAAAAACCTCCTGAAAGTCCCTCCGAGGGGGCCCCACTCTGCCGCCGGCCCCCCCCCCCCCTCAAGGTCTCAAACGGCCCGGGGACGACCCAAGGGCGCCCCAAGCCGGTCCAAGAGAGTCCCGAGCAGTCCAAGAGAGCCTCCACACGGTGGTTCCAGATCGCTCCAAGACGCCCCAGATGGCCTCCAGACGGCCCAAGACGCCTCCAAGACGGCCCAAGAGGGCTCCAAGAGCACCCCCAAGACAGCCCCGAGAAGCAAAAATCATTGATTTTTCAATGGTTTTTGAAGGATTCTCACGTTCACGCCATTTCGGCTTACCCACGCTCCACGACGGCCCAAGAGGCCCCCAAGATCGCCCCAGGACGGCCCAACAGGCCCCCAAGACGGCCCCAAGACGGCCCAAGAGGGCCCCAAGACCGCCCAAGAGGCCCCCGGGACGGCCCAAGAGGGGCCCCAGGATGGCCCCAAGAGGAGGCCCAGAAGGGGAACCCGAATGAACATGTCGAGCTTTCGGCTCCAGAGGCCCCCAGGAGGCCCTAAGAGGCCCCCTGGAGGCCCCCAACAAACCCCAAGAGAGCCCCAAGAGGCCCCAAGAGGGCCCCAAGAGGTCTCCAAGAAGCCCCTGGGACGCCCCCAAGAGGCCCCTAAACTGGTCCGCAGAAGCCCCCGAGAGCTGTCCGAAGAGACTCCTGCAAGCGTCCATGAGGACTCTGAGCCACAACCCAGGCAAGGTGGCGAGACCCAAGAGGCTCCCAAGAAGCCCCCAGGAAACCCCCAAGAGGCACCTAAACTCCCCCCAATAGCCCCCGAGAGCCCTCTCGAGAGAGCCCACGAAGCGTCCATGAGGACTCCGAAATGAAACCCAAGCACGGTGGCGGGATGGGCCGACGGCCAATTGATACATGGCATACGCACCGCGTCACGACGTTCGATGCTGCGCACCACTTCGACAAACTCCAAGGGAGCGGCCGGTGATGCGCCGCTGGCGTCCTCGATAAAGCAATGCGAGATCACACCGGTAGGTATGATGATTATTTACATGGCTTCGTGCCCCTCCCACCCCTCCAGGGAGGCCCCGCCTGAGCGAGGAGGGTATCCGAAACCCATACTATTTACCTGGTTTCGTGCCCCTCCATCCCCTCCAGGGAGGCCCCGCCTGAGCGAGGAGGGTATCCGAAACCCGTACTATTTACATGGCTTCGTGCCCCTTCCACCCCTCCAGGGAGGCCCCGCCTGAGCGAGGAGGGTATCGGAAACCAATACTATTTACATGGTTTCGTGCCCTTCCCACCTCTCCAGGGGACCCCGCCTGAGCGAGGAGGGTATCGGAAACCCATACTATTTACATGGTTTCTTGCCCCTCCAGGGAGGCCCCGCCTGAGCGAGGAGGGTATCGGAAACCCATGCTATTTACATGGTTTCGTGCCCCTCCCCCCTTCCAGCAGGGCCCCGCCAGAGCGAGGAGGGTATCAAGAAACCGTACTATTTACAAGGCTTCGTTTCCTGAGCACCTGTCCTCCCTCCTCCTTTCTTTCGTCTGCCCTTTCGTGCGTACTTACTCGTTCGATGAGCTTCTCCTTCGTGTTGATGTTGTCGTACCTCATGGGTCCCACGAAACCGTTAATATCGTTATGTGGGGAACTCCGTTAGCATAATTCGACACATCTCGGAGTGCGACAGGGCGTAATGTTCAAGGAGAAGGGATGGAAGAAGAGGAGGAGGAGGAGGAGGTCGAGGAGGATGAGGAGGAGGAACAGGACGACGACGATAGAAAGGAGGAGGAGGTGGAAGAGGAGGAGGAAGAGACAGAGAGAAAGAGGAGGACGAGGAGGAGGAGGAGGAGGAGGAGGAGGAGGAGGAGGAACGACGAAAAGAGAGAGGAGGAGCAGGAGGAGGAGCAGGAGGAGCAGGAGATGGAGGAGGAGACAGTGAGCGCGAGCAGCAGCAGCAGCAGAGCGACCCCCCTTGGTCGCCCAGGGGCCGCAGCCTCGAGCTGCCCGCCCACAGCCCGTCGCGGCGCCAGGACGCGGCACGCGCCCCGCGGCTGCCCGCCCGGTCGGGCACAGTTGCCGTCCTGATTGGGAAGCCGGTGCACGTGGCGGGGCCGCCCTGGCGAGAGTTGGATGCTCATTTGAGCCGTTGAAGATAGGGCCTCGCCCTCGAAAGTCATAGGGGTTGGTTTCCCTCCCTTGGCCGAAGGCGGGCGGAAGGCGGCGGCAGGAGAACGGGGGCGGCCCTGCTGGCGGAAACCGGCGAAAGCTCGGCAAAGACGGCAGAAGTAAAAGTTGCCGTCCTAAGCGTTGGCAACTTTGTGGGATCCAGAGTTTCTGGAACCCGCCATGGCGGGGCCTGCTCGGGCGACAGTTGGATGCCCACAGATCCGACGTCGTCATTGTGTCATGTCATTGTTTTTAAAATGAAAATGATTTCTAGAAGGCCGTCTCGGGCCTCGGGAAAATGACACATCGGCTTGGGACGGAAAGCTCTCCCTGGGGAAGTGGTCGATCCCTCCGCAGCCCGCGAAACCCAAAAAAAAACATAGTCGGATTTCTGGGTGCACATGACTGCTGCCCGAAACACCGCCAGGTTTCAAAACACGTGTGGGTCTCCACGCTGGAAACGGCGGCTTCACCAGCAAGTGATCATTTAATCAGCGTGCAAAGAGGAAACCTACCCCGCAAGATGGGCAAGGAATGCCGCCGGACCAGTCTGTACGCAAAGCTGGCCCAGCCTGCGGCTGTGGCGTGGTCCGATACCTTAGCCCCACTGCCAGGGGATCCCCGTGCTCGACAAGGGGTGGGGACCCGCTCGGACCCCTGGGCCGTGGAAAAGGAGGAAGAGGAGGAGGAAGGGGAGGAGGAGGACAAAGGAAAAGAAAGGGGGGGGTCCCGCTTCCGTACAGAATCGGCGCGCTCCGTCGCCAAATGAGGCAGCGATGGGTTCATGTTTCGGGGGGTATCGTCCCCGATCCGTGGATCTGGCCCCCACGCGCAAGATCCACGGATCCCTTAGTCCATCTTAGCGTGCAGGGGGGTAGGAGGAGGATAGGGGGAAGGCGGAGGGAGGTGAGAAGCGAGCGGGCACGGCAGCCTCGGTGGGCGGAGTTGCATACCGCGCGTGCGCGCGCCGCACGGCCCCCCGCTGCGCAGGAGATGCGCAGGAATGTGTACGTGGTGGCGCCCGGCGGGGGGACAGGCGCGCGTTCCCTGCCCTGGTCGGGGCGGGGATGCGTTCAGGCATCCAGCTCTTGGAGACCCTTGGACTTATGTATGCCTGGTGTTGCTGCGCTCGTCCTGCAGGTCTGCATGCATCTTTTGGAATGACTCTTCCCTGTACAAAAGCTGTTCCTCGCCTGCGCGTCCTTCAACCTCGGCGTGGCTGCTACAGCCCATGTGGCCTCTCGCCGGCCTTCGCGTTGCTGCATTTTCTGGGACAGGACAGGCATAGCCTCATGCCTGCGCAAAGCAAACAGGACGGCTAGAAGGAGGGCAATGACAACGACGAGGACGACGACGTGGTGGAGGAGGATGAGGAGGAGGAGGAGGACCAGACTAAACCCAAGGCGCATCAACGATGTTACAATAAACCCTCCTTCCCAGCTCCCGCTCCACAGGTCCCTGCAAGAATTTATTGTCATGCCGGGTGGTGCCGCATTCGAAGGCAATTGTATGAGGACCTTCAATCGTACCAAGACATGATTGCTTGGATTCCAATGGCGCGGGCCAACGTTATTGCTGCATGCTGGCAACCCTAGATCGAGCAAGAACGCAATTTCTGCGACGTCAGCACCGCAAATCAACGTGACCACTGCATCGTAACGATCCTAAATATTGCGGGGGGCACCATTCCTGGGACTTCAACCGTACGAATCCTCCACATTGTTGCGGGCTTAGGGCGAACGCTACATTTTGAAAGGGAGCCGCCCTCCATAAGTGAAACGGCTGCAAACGTTGAAGACGAATGTGCACGACGTTGAGGCGTGAGCCACATTTGAAAAAATGGCCCGCCCTCCTTCCGTGAAGCTGCTGCAAAATTTCAAATCGAGTGCGCGCGGCGCTGAGGCGAGAGTCACACTTTGGAAAAGACCAGCCCTCCAGCAGTGACACGGATGCAAATTTCGAGTTTCGGCGCCATGAGTGGCGAGGACGTCTTAGAGGAAACGCCCGGCCCGCCCACGCGCTTGGGGGTGCGTCCAGGAGGAGTTATGTGTAGGAGAAAAGGATGGAGGAGGATAGAGAGGACAAGGCACGACGCCTGCACTCCAGCCCCAAGGCATGAACGGCGCCGTCTATGCAGAGCTGGGTCAGGACGGCAAGCTCTGCCGCGTCCCCGTCCCCGTTCCTCTCCTCCCCGTCCTCCTCCTTCTCCTCCTCCTCCTCCTCCTCGTCCCCCTCCTCTTCCTCCTCCTTTTTTGCGTTAGACGGGCATTAGTTGTGATGCCTGTTGCTTTCTTGAACGTGCGCAGTACAGATCTGCAGGCCTGACGACCAGCAGTCAGAAAAAAGGAACTGCGAATCAGCAAATGAGAGGAATGAGTAGATCATCCAGGGTCCGGCCCCATGGTCTGCAAAGTTGGCCAGGTGCCTCAAGAGCCACCGCTTTGGCCAGGAACTAGGACGCGGAGCAGACCGAACAGCGGGTCTTCATTAAACTGTGCCTCCGTCTCCCATCCTTTCATCGCTGTGCCTCGGACAGAGACTGGCGGCAGAAAGAAGCGGCCTCCCATACAAGAAGCACGGAGAGATTCCGGCTCCACGATCTGCAACGATGGCCACGTGCCTCAAGGGCTTACCACCGTGGCCAAGAATCTGGAAACAGAGAGGACCGAAGAGCAGGCCCACACTCAGGTGTGCCTCCACCGTCGCCCCACACCCCCTCCATACCATCCATCATTAATCCCAAGCCCATCCCCCAAGTCGAGGCACTCACCGAGTGACAGTACCGCAATTGCTGAAACAAAAAACCCTCACCGAGGATTTATGTGTAAATCTGTTGGCAGCGTTCCTCCCACCGCCACCTCCGCATCCTCCCATCCGCACCGCCCTCACTGCGCCTCGGGCCGAGGCTGATGACAGAAAGAATGGCCTCTCATACAAAAATCACCGAGAAGTGCCGACTCCAAGGTCTGCAACGGCGGTCAACACGCACTCAGCGGTCGACCCGCACATCATCTTTGCAATCCTCCAATCCGCACTCCTCGCCCCGTACCCGTCCCACAAGAGGGGGAGGAGAAAAACAACGAGGTGTAATAGGGTGGACGATACAGGAACTGTAAGATGCGCAATGCCGAAAAACGCGGGCATGGCGGCAATTCTTGGGTTGCTTCCCAGGGTGTCGCGGTTCACCCCAAATTTTAAACTTCCATGGTTTCGGGACCTCTGTGTGTTGGTTGCAACCCTTCCAGTCTGGTTTAAAAGGAACCCGTGTACCAGTAGGCTGGCGCTGCAATCTAGGCTGGCTAGTTTAGATTGAAGGATGGTGGCGAGAAGAAACGGCCTCCCACGCACGCGCTGAGAGTTGACAGCACGGAAAGAAGACTACGGCTGACTTGTAGCCTCTAGCCACTTCCAGCGCAGAAGTGGCTGCTCGAGGGACCTCCAGCAGACACGCGGCCACATGTCGTTGCGACTCGTTGCCTGCGGGCTCTCCTCCTCAGAAACGGTCAGAAACAGCCTCCCATACAAGATCAGTGAGTGATGCCGACTCAATGATCTGCAGCGCTGGCCAGGTGTCTCAAGTGCCCACCGCCGTGGCCGCGAATGTGGAAGCGGAGCTGACCGAAGAACGGGTCTACACTCAACTGTGTCTCTGCCTCCACCCCCCGCCCCGTACCATAACATTCCCAATCCGCACACACACACACACACACACGCGTGCCCGTCCCACTAGAGGGGGAGAGAAACGAGGTCCTCCTCTTCTTCCCAGTTCTCCTCCTCTTCTTCCTCCTCCTCCTCCTCCCCCCCCTCCTCCTGCTCATCCTCATCCTTTTCCTCCTCCTCCTCCTCCTCCTCCTCCTCCTCCTCCTCTTCCTCCCCCTTCTCATATCATGGAGTTGTCTCGCCTTTTTGCCTTACTGAATCGTCTCTCCCACCGCAGCCCTTTCTGGTTCTCGGGTACGTAGTCCCGACCTCTTGCGATTCACCCGCGCACTGAAAAGTCCGCTTCCACCCTGCACTCTTTACTTCTAGTTGATAGCGGAGCTTCGGCCCCCTTCCCACACGCTGCCATGGCGCCTTCCCGTTGCCCTGCCTCGATGGCGATGGTCCCCCATCTCCACAGCGACGCGCAACCACTTGAAAGACGGCTTCAACAAGGACGCTGCGCTATTCCCCTTGCCGCGCCCCTGGCGAGCAAGACCGTGTCCACCGTGATCGCGACCCTCTACCCGCTCATCATCGCGGGGGAAGCGCACCGCTAAAATTTCGAGGACAACTACCAGAAAGACCGCGCCCCCCGTCCGTTTTCTTTGCCCCTCGGGTGTTATCGAACTACGTTCAGGATGCGCGTGGTTCTGACGTCTACATGGCACCCGCCCATGGACCCCGAACTGTGCGCAAGCATGTTGCGGAAGCCAGAGGTGGGAGAGATACAGGACGCATCGCCCTCATTGCATCCGCAGGTGGGCATAGCCGACCACGTCAAGCTGTCGTTCGATCCGGCTATCGCACCGCCGGCGTCGGCAAGGCGCCCCGAGTTGCCCGCAGGCGTGTCGCAGCAGGCCGGGGAGGCGCGTGCACGCGAGAGCGGGAATGCAGAGGAGGGCAGGGCAATTGCGCTGCCATCCTTCCAGGGGGCCGCTACACAAGCCAGGGTCATTGGATCTCCGGGACACGACCCTCGACGACACCTGCGCACTCCCCGTTCCCATGCCGATTTGGACCCCCACGCGCGCTCCTCTTGGCTACTGCACAGCCGGCAGCGCTCAGCGCAGCGAGAAGACAACTCACGACGAGTTTTTGTCGCCACTACGTGGCGGAGTGCTCCGAGCGCGGCCAGGCCGAGGGCCGCTGCCAGCGCGTCGCCGTCGGCTGGCGCCGCGGCCGTCTCGCCTCCTCGACACGTCGAGGGGGCCCCACTCTGGAAGGAAGGCCGTCGGGGTGGACGCGGTCGCCGCCATCAGCAGCATCGCCCGCGTGGGCGCGGGCGGCGGCGGCAGCGGCAGCGCGCGACGCCCCCGCGCCAGGGGGCCCGAGCAGCAGGCTCGCGCGCCCTCCCAACGCTGGGCGCCGGATGTAACGAATTGGCAGCGGCGAACTCGGACCTCAACGAGTTTCGCCAGGCGGCCTATAGCCCCGTTTCGCTTGACCGCCACGGTTCGCGAGCACGCGGGAGAGCGGCCGCCGGCTGACCTCGCCCAAGGTGGCAATGTTAACGGCAACCCAGCGCCGCCCGCGACCAACCCCGCGCGCAGCTCGGCCGAACGGCGGGGCCAGCTTGGAAAGGGGGAGCGCACTCAGGCGGCATCGGCTCGGATGAGCGCGAACCGACTGCCCAGGGGGGGCATCGACAGCCACCTTCACCAGGTTCGACATCCTCCGCAACAAGGCGCAGCAGGCCGTTCAACTCGCGATCGGCTACGAGGGCCTCAGCTACCTCTTGCCGCGCGCGGCGGGCGCGTGGAACGCCTGGATCTCCCGCCGTGACCCTGCAGCACTGCGGCACGGCCTGCCCGACGGGCGCGCCACGGCTGGCACGCGCGATGGGCCAGCCACGCATATTTGGACACACGGTCGAAGGCTCGCCGGGCAAATTCGCCGCGGCGGCGCATTCGCCCCGACGCCGCGCGTTTCTCGCGGGCGCGCCCACTCGCGATGAGGATCAGAGCGCCAATGGCACCGGGGCCGAATCGAGCTGGGACGGCACGGGCCCTTCAACTCCAGGAGCAGCACCGAGTCCACCTCCAGCGCCGTTGGCCGCCAAAACCGACGCGCCAGCTGCACCGCGGGCGGCGCGCCCGGCGGCGGGTCCAAATTTTGGCACCGACACCGGCGCCGCCAGCTGCTTCGGCGAAGCACTCGCTGCCGACGGCCCCGGACTGCCCGACGCCCCCAGTGCAATGCGCGGCGCGCTTTGCTTTTGGGCCCGCGAGCGCGCCAGGCCCCGACGGCGCCGCCCCAACAGCAACAACAAGCGCACGCGCCGCGCGAAGAGGTCATCGAACATAAGGGCAAGGGCCGAACAGGCGACCGCGCCTTCCCGGCCAACCTGTCCGACAACAACCACCGCGAGACCTTCGCCGGGCTCGGGGGGGGGGGCAGGGGCGAGGGGCGGAGCGAGCGTCGGAATGGCGGGCCGGGAATTGGCCGACAAGGCAACCCATTGGGCCCCGTCGGGGCGCGTCTCAAGCGTCCCGAGTGCGACTCAGAGAAGCACCTCGCGCGCGACTGCCCCCGTCGGCGCCAGCCACGGCGCGCCCTCTTCCTCGGCGACCCAGCCTCGGCAGCACCGCCACCGACTGCGGCGGCATCCGCGCCGCGCGCGCAGCTTGGATACCACGGGGCGCCTGGACCAGCCGCTCAACAACCAGCACCAGGCGCCCATTCTGTCTAGACGACCAGAGAAACCCACGGGATGCCCGAACCAATGGCGCTGGGACCCGACAACGGTGACCCGCCGCAAGAAGCCGATCCCTGGAACGGCGGCAAGCCGACTCCAGCTTCGGCAGCTACGCAGCCAGCACCAGCATCAACAGCAGCAGCTCCCAGCGCTGCGCCCGACAGCTCCCGGCGGGCAGTTGGCCAGAGCAATTGGCCATGCTGGCCGTGTACGTCATCGCCCCCATCGTCCTCGCCCAACCCTCCTGAGGCTGAACTTCGGCGACTACGCCGGGGGGTGGGCGACCGCGCGGGCAGCTCAACCAGCGGCTAGGGCCACCAAGTTGCGGGCCCGCGCGGCAAGCGCGAGGACATCAGCGCCCGCAGCTCCAGCAGCACCACCAGCACTGACACCGCAGTGCTGGGCCAGAGTGGCCGGCGCTTCTCCGCCGGGGCCACAGCGATGGCGCGACTGGGCAAGCGACATCAGCGCCCGAGTCGCTACGCCAGCAACCCCACCTGCCGATGTGCAGTTGCCGAGCTGGGCCTACATGCCATCAGCCTCAGCACTCGACATCAGCGCGTCATAATTATGGGTCGAGCTCCACGTGGCCGCTGCAGTCCGCGCGGGCAGCCGCGCCCCCACCGATGCAGGAGCCCCCCAACGATCTGGCTCTCTTCAACCAGCACGCCCCCGCTGACGTGAGCCAGCCATCTGGGAGAGTGGCCGATTAGTTTGCTGCGGCCGCGACATCTGGATGTCCAGCGGCGCGCGATCCGAACACGGAGTGGGCTCCGACATTTCGACGAGCTCCACGGCACCCAGTTCGCACTTGAACTCTTACGTCAACAGGGCGAGCAGCGACGACGAGCCGCACATAATTGGTCAGAAACCCATCTTAATCCACCTCCTGCGCCGGCTGCCGCACTAGCCGCACCCCGCGCCATAGTCTTCAACGACGACGACCAGGAACGCCCTATCTGCACCGAGGTTTTCGCTCGATGATCTCCAAGACGCGCGCTAGCCCAATGTGTGTCCACCCCTCTCAGCCAAACCAGTCGATCATTACATCGCCTGTGTCGCATTGAAGGCCCTTAATGGACAAACGCGCGTTAGGGCTAACATACGTCCTGAGGATCATCGACTCGCGCACGGCGATCGAGCGGCGCGCCGCCAGCGCTGCCGCATCTTGCACCAGGCACGCCACCTACAGCTTCTGCAGAACACCGACGCCCATGGCGCGCGGCCCGGCGCGCCGAGGCCCGGCCGACGTCATCGCCGAACTCGCTGCAGCGAGGCGCCTGAATAAGGAACACTTCTATGTCCAAAAGGGGCTCGGTTGTTCCTGAGGTTTACACGCGTTTCGCTACCTTCTCGGCGGCGAGCCCCCCATTCGTTCAGATTTGGACGCGCGGGTTCGCTGTCGATCGGGGCGGCTGGTCTGTGGAACGGGGCTCCTGGAGGGGCTCGTTTCCTTGCGCTTCCTCGACATCATGCGACGGCGGACGCGTAAAAGCCCGGCGCATCTCCTGGGCCCCCCCGTTCCCTGTGGGGCGCGCGCCGGAGCATTCGCTTTTGTCCGCGCGCCGAGGTAGGGGCATTGAGGCCCAGTTCCTCGCGGGAACACCCCCCTCTCCTTAGGCCGCGCGGTTCGGAGCTCATGGGGTCGACTCGGCGCATCGGCGGTCGCGTTAAGGCCCATCTCTTCTCCGCGGCCCCCCGGGGCCGGAGCTTTCGCCCCTATCCGCGCGCCCGGGCGGGGGCATTAAGGCCCAGTTCCTCGCGGGCGCACCCCCCGCTCCATGGGCCGCGCGGCCCGGGGCCCACTGCCTCGACCTAACGCAGCGGCGGTCGCGCTAAGGCCCAGCTCCTCTCTCGGACCACCCTTTTCCTGGCAGGGCGCGCGTCGGAGCTTTCGCCGTCGTTGTCCGATTGCAAAGGCAGGGCCATCAAGGCCCAGATCCTCGCTGGAGCAACCCCCCGCCCCATCGGCCGCGCGCGGACGGGGGGGGGGGAGGAAGAAGTGGAAGAAGAGGAGGGGAAGGATGAACAGGAGGATCGGAGAAGCAATGGCAACGCGCGCTCGGTCACTGTCCAGGAAGAATTTTTTGATATTCGAAAAAGGTTGAGGACGCACGTTGTTATTTTCGATACAATCGGTCACCGTTAAGGCTTCACTTTAGTTTCCAGGCCATCATGGCGACTTTTCCATTGCGGGCAACACAAAACTCGCCAGGCGCCCGTCCGCGCGCGCTCGCGCGACCGGCCAACACGCGCGGGCGTTTCACCCGAAATCCCGCCGGTCACCATTCAAGGTTCATGTAAGGTTCCAGGCCAGCACGGCGACTTGTCCATTGCAGGCAATACAAAATTCTCCACGCGCGCGTCCGCCCGCGCGCGCGCGATCGGTTGACGCACGCGCGGGCGTATCATTCGGAATGTCCCTGGTCACCGTCAAAAAGGTTCATGTTAGTTTCCAGGACAACAGGGCGATTTTCTGTGTTTGAAAACGTCGGGCAAACGCATGTGAATTCCAGAATCAAACCAGTCACCGTGAAGGGTTCACTCTTAGTTGCCAGGCCAACATGGTAACTTTTCATTTTGGACAATTCAAAACTCATCACATTCTGAATTGTCCACAATGGAAAAGGTGACACGGCCGCGCGTGTGTCACCCGTTCGCGCGCGCGCGCGGACGCGCGCGTGGTGAGTTTTGCATTGTTTACAATGGACATGTTGGCCTGGAAGCTGAAGTGAAGCCTTCGCGGAGACAGATTGGGTTTTGATGTTAACATGCGTTTTCGTCGATTCCACAAAAAGAAAAGTCGCAATGTTGGCCGGGCAACTATAGGGAACCCTTCACGGTGACCTGCTGGGTTTGGAAGGCAACATGGTTTTCACCGCACAAGCATCAGTTGAACGGTTCGGAGATTCAAATGGCGAGCGGCGCGCGCAAGTGACACGCGTCACCCGCGCGCGCGTGTGGAGTCCGGTAACGCCCACACTCGAAAAGTGGCCATGTTAGCCCGGAATTTCAAGTGAATCCTCCACGGTGAAATATCTTATATCCAGCACAGCATGCTGTACTCGTGCGAGACGATGGTACGGCTTGTAGTGTTGCGGTTTTCAACGTACGCCCCTTTTTCTGCATACATATATATATATGTATAGACACGCACACACAGATATGTATATAACAAAGTACGAGTTGCGCCGATGATCATCATAATCATAATCCTCATCATCTGCCCCATCCCACTCCTCGTCATCATGTCCTCCTCGTCCTCATCCTCCTCCTTGTCGTTGCCCCCGCTGCCGCCATCATCACCGCCGCCGCCGTCGTCGTCGTCGTCTTCCAGGACCCGCGCTTCAGCGTGAACGTCGTGGGCCAGTCCCGGGCCCACTACGACTGTTACCCTGAGGATTCGCGGGCGGCGGTGGCTGGCCGTCGTCGATGTCGTTCGAAGGTCGAGGCGGGCTTTTCCATTAGTTCGCGTTCAGTTTACCATCTTCGGCCCTCCAGTCCTGGGGGCTCTTGGTGCGAACGTTTGAGGACGATCAAGCCCCGCGAGGTGGTTATGAAGCAGATATATGTCAGATGAAGCCCTGGATTAAGACGATTTGCTTTCACACTCGTCGCTAGTGTTGCCAACGCGTCTTCTCTTGCACGCGGCCCATGTCAGCAGTAGGAGCACTTAGAAGAACACATGGCATAGCAAGGGTAAACTGTTTTGGGAATGCAGTAAAACCTCAAATTGCTGTGGATTACCCCGGCGCGCCATAAACGAAAAAATGCCGAAGGAACACCTACCGGCAGTATGATTGCTTGCGCCTGGAATTGGTTATATCTCCAGTGTAAACACTCGTGGCCGTCTCCGTGGACATCTGGTGGCCTCGGAGACCTTGCGGAGGCCACTGAAGACCTCCGGAAACCTCCAGGTGGAAGAGGATGCAGGAGAAGGACGGATGAGTTTGATTGTTTATGTTGCCGTTTTGGGTATCTCGGGGGCTCTCGTCGCCACGGCTAGATTCGCATGGCATGGTTGCCTTTGCAGCGCGCATCAACGCCCGCGAAGAGGCAGCAGCCGCAGCACAATGTGCGTAAGAAGGTATGCTCTCGTTATGCCTCAGGGTCCCCAAGGAAAATCCTCCTCCGCCTCCCTCCTTCTCGGCCCCTGCGCCCCTTGCCTCATGTTCCTGCCACTCCTCCTCCTCGTCCTCCTCCTCCTCCTCCTCCGCCTCCTCTACCCTACCATCATCATCATCATCATCATCATCATCAGCAGCAGCAGCAGCAGCAGCAGCAGCATGACGATCATCATGATTGTCATCACCCTCATCATCACCATCACCATCATCAGTCTCGGCATCATCATCAGCATCAGCACCATCATCATCATCATCACCACGATCATCAGCATCATCATCATCAGCATCATCATCGTCGTCAACATTCCCCGTTCTGCTGCAGCTCTCTCGCACCTGGCCTGGGACACAGGACTGGGACCACGGGTGCGCGCCGCCCAACCTGCAGTCATTCGCGGGCGATTTGCTAAACCAGGCCAGGGCATGTGGTGGGGGCAAAGGAAGTGAGAGAGGCGGGTAAGAAGAGGAAGAAGGACGGAAGAAGAGGAGGAATGAGGAGGCAGGATGGAGGATGAGGAGGAGGCGGAACGAGGGCAGAGGAGAGGGAGGGAGGAGAACAATAGGGAGGAGGGAGGAGCGCGTAGCTTAAAGTCCGTAGCAATGTCGGACCAAGGCCACATCGAAGATTTCTGACCCCCCGACTCAAAGCCCCAGGCGAGCAGCCCGCCTGCCTGGCGTTAGCGCGTTTTGGTCACACATTCACGTACGCATCGTTGTGATACTGTTGGCGCTCCGCCGTAACAGGACGGCACCAGAAGAGTTGTTGCACTCATTCCTCCCGCTGCGCAATGTCCATGCCCGAGTGGTGCAGGCCTCAAGCCCCATGACGGGAGTATGAGTACAGGGACGAGGGCAGTGCGAAAAGTGGTGTCCGTGGCACGATTGGACCCCCGGCGCCATGGACCCCGCGGAGCCGCACATAGAGGAGGGGCCAAAAGTGATGGTGGCGAAGCCTGGTGATAGTGCGGGCTCTGCGGTTGCAAAGAGGCAGGAAAGCACCTGCTCCGCGCAGCTCAGGGGGCGCGTTTCCTCTTGGGCGCCCCCGCCGCGGGGTTGACACAAGGTCGGCACCTGGCTGAGCGAGGCGAGCCATCTTCGGGCCCGCGAAGACACGCGGGGAGACCTTGGGTCGCGCAGGCCGGTCTCTAGGGCCACGCAGGGCCCGGGCAAACAGGAAAAACGCGGGGTGGCTGAGCTGGGAGCCGCTCTTCGACGACGCAACGTTGGCTGCTTCCGTGCAGGAACCCATGGAGTTCGAGGGCAAGGCCGGCCATCGCCTCTCGGCTCGAAAACCCGCACAGGGCCACCAGGCGGGCCAGGTGGGGAGAGCGGGCCCAGGAGGCCGTCACCAATGGAGGCGGGGCCCATCAGCACAGCAAGGCCTCCATGGAATGGCGCTCCGCCGAAGTCCTGCCAGCCCCCCCCCCACCTGACCAGAAGCCCCCATGGATCAGATGGGAAGTGTCTTGGAAGAGGTCTGGACCCCAGCCGCCGAGACTGCCGGTTTCCCTGACGCCATAGGGCTTCGCAACCACAAGATAGGTGAGTTGCAAGGGTCGGACCATCCGGGAGCGGCGGCGCCCGCTCGGTGGGTCCGACACCATTCGCCCCGGGGACCTCGCGAGGGTGTCGGATGAGGCGCCAGAGGCCCTGTGTGCGAGTTGGATTTGGTGCGAGTCCGTTGGGCGCGCCCCTGTCCATCTCGCGCGCTTGTGCACGGCCCTTCTCCCCAAACCCGGCGGAGGTTTCAAACCCATGGATTTGCCCCCTGTCACTTGCATGGTCTTTCGCAAAATCACCTGCGACGTCGCGTTGGCTTGGCCAGCCAGGCAGAACAGGGCTCACCACGACGGCGCCGCTGGCAAGAGCTGCGAGCGCGCGGTCTGGGAGGGGGGCTGAGCTGCACCTCAACAACCCAAAAGTGCTGAGGCTGCACTCTGCCCAGAAATCACAGGTAGGCCCAGGCGTGACCCTCATCCACGACGTCCAAGCTCGGCGTCCCCGGTGTCCAAAAAGTCCGAGCGAAATTCCCCTCCCGCCCCTCCCTGTTCGAACCGGTGCCAGAAGCCCGAGGCCACCGATTGGCCCGCGTCAACCAGAAGGACATATATCAGTGCACTGTTTGCAGAGTAGCGGGCAGTAGAGGTGGGATTTATAGGCCCGAGTGTCGTGGTATCCCCAGGATAGTGAGTCCAGCCCATTTGGCCCGCTCCCTCTGGCTAGGGGGGGAGCGACGTTGCTGGTGCTCCAGGTGTGGGGCCTTCGGGATGGTTCGGCCGAACTACCTAACAGCAGCACGCCACTCCCACAGGGTCGGCGTGGACCCGTCCACTTGGAAAGAGCTTGGGCGGAGTGGAGTGTACGTATCGCGTGGTGGATGCAGGCTCTCGTGTCGTGCTGCCGCTGTCGCTGCCTCTGCCTCGGCGGCTTTAACGACCTCATGGCAGGCGCACCCCCTTGCTCTCTCTCCTATCTTACGGCCTAGGCATTGCAGTCATGCGGGACGCCTGCCGTTGAACCCGAAGGAATCCGACGGCAGTAGATGCCAGGAGCGCACGAGACGCACGAAAGAAATGGAAGGGATGAGGAAGACGGAGAAGGGCGAAGGAGGAGGAGGAGGAGGAAGAGGAGGAGGAGGAGGAGGCGGAGGAGGGCGGAGGAGGAGAAGGGCGGAGGTGGAGGAGAGGGAGGGGAGGAGGAGGAGGAGGAGGAGGAGGAGGAGGAGGAGGAGGAGGAGGAGGAGGGAGGGAGGAGGAGGACGATTGAAGAGGAGGATGAGGGAGCAGGCAGGCCAAAGGAAGGAAAGAGCAGGAGGGCCCCGGGGGTGGAGGGGTACACGGGCTAGTGCGAGAGGGTGGGGGCCAGCGGATCTCGGAGACTCTGAACTTTGGGGGGATCCAGATTGATGGGGGCAGAAGGAGGGAGGAGGAGGAGGAGGAGGAGGAGGGAGGAGGAGGAGGAGGAGGAGGAGGAGGAGGAGGAGGAGGAGGAGGAGGAGGAGGAGGAGGAGGAGGGGGAGGGGGAGGGAGGGGGGGGGGAGGGGGAGGGGGAGGGGGAGGGGAGGGGGAGGGGGGGAGAAGGGGGGGGAGGAGGGGGAGGAGGAGGAGGAGGAGGAGGAGGAGGAGGAGGAGGAGGAGGAGGAGGAGGAGGAGGAGGAGGAGGAGAGGAGGAGGAGGGAAGAGGAGGAGGAGGAGGAGGAGGAGGAGAGGAGGAGGAGGACGCGGAGGAGGACGCGGAGGCGGAGGCGGGTGGAAATGTCCAATTCATCACGAAAGGAGAGGAGGAGGAGGAGGAGGAGGAGGAGGAGGAGGAGGAGGAGGAGGAGGAGGACGGAGGAGGACGGAGGAGGACGGAGGACGACGGAGGCCGGAGGAGGACGGAGGAGGACGGAGATGGGACGAGGGACGAGGGAGGAGGAGGGGGGGAGGAGGGTGATAGGGTGGAGGAGGAGGCAAAGATACAGGAGAAGGAGGAGGAGGAGGAGGAAGAGGGGGGGAATTTGAGAGAGGAGGGCAGGGAGGGCACAGGATGAGCAGGAGGCGGGACAGAGAGCGCGAGCAGGGAGGGGCGGGGCGTGAGTGGGAGCGTGATCCGGGGGAAACGGGAGCAGCAGCGGGGTCGGGGGCCCATGCGAAGAGCTAAGGCAGACCTGTTCGCCCTCCCTCCCTGCTCCTTCGTCCTGCTCGTCATCCCCTTCTTCCCTCCCCGTCCTTCCCTCCCCGTCTTCACGCCACGCTGGCCCTTCTCCTCCTCTTCCTGCTCGTCCTCCCCATGGTTGGGCCCGTCTTCCCACCGTATCATGCTCCTCCTCCCCGTTTCATCCTGCTCCTCCCCCCGCACCCCGTCCTCCTCTTTTCCCTCCTACTCCTCCCCCTCCTCCTCCTCCCCCTCCTCCTCCTCCTCCTTCTCCTCCTCCCTCTCATCCTCATCAACATCATCAGCAGCAGCATCATCACCACCATCATCATCAGCAGCAGCAGCATCATCGTACTGCTCCGTCGGTTACCAAAAGTTGGTTGAATTAAAGCTGACAGTCGTTTCTTCGGACGGCTTGCTCTGAATTGGTGCAAAAACGCAGGGCAGAAAACAATCACCGGCACGACAACTGCACCCCGCGCAGTCTCGCGATCCATTTCATCGTCCCAGTTGTCCTCTTCCTCTTCCTCCACAGCTACGTCCGCTACTCTTACGCATCATCCGACTGGTTCTTCTCATACTCCTCCGCATCGCCACCAACATAACCACTACCGCCGCCGATGTCGTAAGGGCGTCATGGACGACTGTGACGTCCTGGTGGTGGGCTCTCGAGGTGGGCAAGTGGTGCCGCCCCCCCGCCAGCTGCGCTGAGATCCAGGGGTGCGGAGGACTTGTACAGCGCACGATGGCATGTCGAGGACGAGGAAGATCGGAGGTCGAGTGTGTCCTAACGTTGATTGCACTTTCACACCTCCGGAGACCTCCGTATCATCAGACCCTCTGCACGAGATCGGCGCGCCCATGCCACGGCCCTCGCCGCGCCGGCTCCCGAGGGAGGGAAGGAAGGCAGAGAGGCTCTGGGACCGACGTCTCGACACGACACCGACGACAACGACGACAGCCACGACAACGAGGGCGGGAAGGCTCTGGGACCGTGGAGACTGACCAAGGTAGCCCACGGGTGCACCAAGAGGACCGTGCTGCGTGGTCTAGGCCAGAGAGCCCCCTTCTCCAGGGGGCGGCGCGAGGGCGCGAAGATGGCAGCGCGAGGCGCGAAGTTTGGCGGCCCAGAAAACCAGAGCGACGCAGGTTTCCCACTCGGCGACCCGATCTCACTCGTCTGCGCTGGACCTCGACACGACACCGACGACGACGACAACGACGACGACGACGACGAAGGGCGGCGACGACGACGACGCCCACGACGCCGACGGCGACGGCGACGACGGCAGCGGCGACGGGGAAGGCGGCGGCGACGGCGACGGCGACGGCGGCGACGACGACGACGACGAGGATGAGGACGACGAAAAACGACGACGACGACGACGACGAGCACGAGGACAACAACGACAACAACAACAGCAACAACGACAACAACAACAACAACAACAATGACAACAACAACAACGACAACGGCAACGGCAACGACAACGGCAACAGCAACGGCAACAACAACAACCACAACCATAACCACAACGACAATGACAACAACACCAACAACAACCACAACCACGACCACGACGACGACGACGACGACGACGACAACGACAACGACGACGACGACGACAGCAGCAACAACAACAACAACAACAACAACAACAACGACGACGACTAGGATGACGGCAGCGACCGCGGTGGTGGCGGTTGCGACCGCGACGGGTGGCGGCGGCGACGGCAACGGGTGACGAAGAAGACTACGGGCCGCGGCGGCGGCGGCGGTCGCTGGCGCGGCCGGGCTCCAACCAGCCGGTGCCTCTCGGCCGCGGCCGCCGCCCGAGGTGTTGCCGAACCTGTGGGCGTGGGGCGCGAAGGTGCGGCCACTGTTCGCTCGCGCGCCCTGCGTGCGACAGCCGCCAGCCGGGGAAGGGAGAATCGGATGAGGGTCGAAGATCGAGGATCGAGGATGAGGGTCGAACTGTTCGTCGCTTCCTGGCGGTTCTTCCAGCCTCGAGATATTCGCCAGCAGCTGCGCCTCGCCAAGAGCGCTCCTGGGGTGCCCTAATCGTCCCGATCGGCCGCTGGAGACCCGAGCTATGACACGAAAACCAGACGACGAGGGTCATCCGGGTCGAACGGCAAGGAGGATCGAGGATGAGGGTCGAAAATGCATGATTCGTTGGCCCGTTCTGGGCCTCAAGGGACGCCCTCATGGCTACCGCTGGATTCTCTTCGAGATTCTGGTAAGGACACAGTCGGGTGAGGCGATTCTCGTGCACCCCGAACCCCAGAACCCTCTTCCCGTCGTGACAGACAGAACTGGCTCGGGGCGTCGGGGTCGTCAAACCGGTCCAATGCGAAAAACCAGCCAGAACGGGAGCAGGGAAGGGTACGGCGACTGATGCTGAGCAGAGTTTGGTCGGGAGGAGGGAGGAGTTCGGAGGAGGTTCGAGGATCAGGGTTCCGTGTGCGCATGCTTGCGTGTTGCATTCAATTTTTTTAGCGGAAGAGGTTCGCTCTCGCCCCGCAGATCAAAAAGTGTTTCATTCAAACTCCTTGGGTGCCTCGACGTTCTGGACCAAGCACGCTCCAGGAAAGGTCCAGGCACAGATGTTTGAAGGTAGGGGAGGAAGGGGGGAGAGGAGGACGAGGAGGAGGAGGAGGAGGAGGCGGAGGAGGAGAAGGAGGCTCCGTAGCCATTTTGGCTCAAGGTCCGGAGGCATTGCTCAAGGACTTTGAGGTTGTGGCGGGGGGGATTCGCGGCCCCCGACTGCTTTACCTGGCGTTCGCCCGCCAGGATCACATTCACTAATACGTCTCGTGTACGGAACTTCTCTTTTCTTCCCCACTTCATCCTTCGATGGTTCCTGCGCCCGCATCTTTCTCGTATGCGCCGTGGGTGCGTCCAGATGAGTGGACAGTTGTCCAAGGAAATTGGAAGGGAAAGAAGAAGCAAGGCCAGGGAGCTGCTTGCCCAGGCTGTGGTTGCAAGAAGAATGCTCCAGATGACACTCATTGTTACCATTGCAGCACTCTTCTGCCTCGCCTCGCTGTCGGTCATCCACCTGCTGCTCAAGGGTCATGGGCACGTCCTGCTTCGCCCCCAGGCTCGTTCTTCCATCTCGGCCCACTCATGGGGGGCAAGGGCGGAGGCTTCGCTGGCGGCGGCATTGGAGGCAAGGGGGGCATGGGTGGCGGCGGCAAGGGCAGAGGAGTACATGGCGGTTGGGCAGGTACATGGGCAAGTGGCGCACTTCAGCCTGGTCCCGCCGCGGCGGGAGCTGGTCAGCTGGCGCCGCTGCCAGTGGGGGCCGTGCCCAATCTGTCCAAGGATGAGGCGTCGGAGTTGGCTCGGCTGTGTCAGAAGGCTGGAGACAAGGCAGGTGCCACCAAGTATTCGTCCTGTGCGAAGTCGCTGGCGGCTACTGAGGAGCGTGCGAAGCAGCCAGTCTCAGCACATCAGGCCGCCCAACAGCATCACGCTCATGTTCGGCGGATTGAGAAGCAGCTGGAGGGCGACCTCGCGAGGCTCCTGCGTCTGCAGTCCGAGGTGCAGGAGCAGGGCGAGAAGGTCAAGCGCGTGCGCTGCGAGTTGCAAGAAGCTGACAGGGTGTACAAGGAGGCGGTCCAGAAGCTTGCTGCTGATTCGAAGGTTGTGCCCAACGTCGAGACGGCAAAGCTCAAGCTCGAGGATTTGCTTGCAGGCTCTGTGGACATCGGCTCCATCTTCAGCTGCGACATCCTCGATGACTTCGGCGATGACGACGAGCTCGAGCTGTCGGCTGAGGATCGCGAGGAGATTCAGAAGCGCACGGCACTCTTGTCGCAGGGCATTGCGGACATGGCTAAGACGCTGTTCCAGCAAGCGGTCGACCAGGCCAAGTCCGCCCAAGCAGCACATCAAGCGCATAAAGCTCGTGCGGCAGGCAAGCGTCGCAAACGTGAAGATGGGCTTCATGAAGCTGGCGGGGGTGACGTCGGAGCTGAGGCCGCTACAGCCGCCGCGTCTGGTGGCGAGGGTGAGCATTCCCCGACGGCTGGGAGCAGCCAGCAGGCGCCAGCTGAGGCGCCGCCAGCAGACATTCGTGCGCGTGCAGATGCGGCTCTACACACCCGTGAGTCAGGTGGCGCCTCCCCCTCGTCCTGAGGGGGGAGAACTTTTATGCTTCAGTAAAGCTTGTGTTTCTGGAATTCGGTTTGTTTTTGATTTTTTTGCCTCTCGAGCCTCGGTCATTGGTTCGAAATCCAGAGTCTCTGGCATCAGGCTTTTTAAGAGGTTTCAGTCTGAGTTCCGAGCCGCCACTCCCGAAGCCAATTCCTGGGTCGCGCCCTTGGTCCCTGCGGACGTCCAAGACACCCCAGGATCCAACCCCTTGGAGCCCCCGAGGCCCGTTCCACTTCCCGTTTCCTCTGGGGCCTCAGATTTCCAGCTGGAGGTGGCTACTGTCAATGGGAACTCTTGGGGCACGCTCTACAAGTTTCTGGAGTCTACGTCGGCCCACGTCGTCATTGGCCAAGAGCATCGCCTCAGAGCCTCAGACATCGATCAGAAGTCGGAAATCTGCCAGAAGGCTGGGTTCAAGACTGTTTGGGCGCCTGGCGTGCTCGGCGAAGGTGGAGGTGTTTCTTCGGGAGTTATGGTGGCGGCTCGTGGTGGATTTGGATGCTACGAAGCTTCTGAAGTGGTTCTTGTTGAAGGGCGAGCAGCCGCTGCTCTGATTCACGTTCCTGGGTGTGCCCCGTTCGCCGTCGCGTCGGTCTACCTGGTTCACTCGCAAGGACTGTCGGAAGCTAACATGGACATCCTACGGGCGGTTGGGGCCTTTCTTGATGCCCAGGGTTGTGATTTTGTTGTCGCAGGTGATTTCAACTTCTCTCCTGGGGTCCTGTTTGAAACCAACTTTGCGGAGCTTCTGAAAGGTGTCATTGTGTCGGCCGATGGGCGCACCCACTTCCCCGCTGGAGGTGGGTCTCCCGACACCTTTGATTGTTTTGTTCTCTCGGAAGCCTTGGGGCGGTGCCTGCAGCAAGTCAGAGTGGTCACTGAGTCGGATATTTCCCCGCACAAGCCTGTGGCCATTAAATTTCACCCGTCCCTCGGCTCTCTCAAAGCTCCCGCGTTCCGCCGCCCCCCTGATTTGCCTCCGTCGGCGCCGGTGGGGCCTCAACCGTGCCCTGGGGATTGGTCCGAGGTTACTGCTAAGGCCGAAGCCGCTCACAGGGCTGTCCTTTCGGGGGATTTGCAGAAAGCCAGGGACCTGCTCACGCCTGGTTATCGTTTGTGGGCCAATGCGGCTGAGTCTGACTTGGCTAACGTCTTGGGGGTTGAGCTTCCCGCCCGCGGCATGAGGGGTAAACGCCCCAAGCTTGTGTGGAAAATGGTTATCAAACCTGCGGGCAAAGTCGAGGATCCCAGCCTTAGGTCCATCACGTGGCTCGCTGCTCAGCTTCGTGCTCTCAGGAGCTACCTTTTGAGTGATGGCGCGGTGCTTCCACCTGCTGGTCGGGGAGTTGCTCTCGACATCGTCTCTGTGCCCGTCGAGGTCGCTGTCGAGGCGGACTCCGACTGGCACCAGTTCTCTCAGGCTAGTGCTGGCTTAGCTGCCCGCTGCCTGGATCGTTCTCGTCCCCACGTTTCTTCCCAGCGCGGTCTCGATGTTAGGTCTGGACAACCTCCGAGCCAAGGCGGCTCAGGGGATGTGCTCTTGTTTAAGTCGCCTGGTCAGTCGGATGTCGAGGTTAGGCTCTGCGATCTGGATGGTGGAGAGCCTAATGTTGTTGCCGACTCCCTGCGCGCGGATCTTGAAACCCTGCTCGACTCGGTCGATCGGGCCTGTTTGGGGGCTAAGGTCGCGGCTGCTGCCAGGTCTAAGGCGTCTTGGCAGGAATGGGTTCGAGAAGGATTGAGCAAGGGCAGTCGTAATGCTCAGAGAGCCATTCGTGACCCCGAGCCTTGGACCCCCACGACCACGCTCGCGGCGGGGGGCATCATTGTTGCGGACCCCATGGCCCTCTTGAGGGCCGAGGCTGTCAAGTTTTCGGCTATTTGGGGGGATGGGGACGGGAAGGGTATCGATGGCGCGTTACTCGAACCCCTGCCTGTCCTTCAGCCAGCGGAGTTGCGTGCTTTTTCCAAGAAGTATAGGCTGTCTAGTGCGGTAAGTGTTGACGGCTTTCATTGTCGCCATTTCTCGTTGCTCTGTGATCAGGCGCTTCGCTGCCTCGCTCTCTGGTTTTGTGTCATGGAGGCCACGGGATCCCTGCCGCAACAGATTTCCTGGGTGCTCATGGCCCTCTTGGGCAAGCCCGCTGGGGGCTTTCGGCCTATCGGGGTTTTCCCCAGTTGGCACCGCCTCTGGGGGCGGGCTCGTCGGTCGTTTGCCCAACGCTGGGAAAGCAATAACCCTCGGGACTTCTGGGCGGCGGGGGCCAACAGGGGCGCCTCTGACGCGGTGTGGCGGCAAGCCTTCAAGGCCGAGGCTGGACTCAGCCGTGGCGATGTGTCCGCCTCCATTTTCTGGGATCTTCGGAAGTATTATGAACGCATTGACCTTCGTCTGCTCTATGCCAGGTGTCAGCAACATGGGTTTCCTCTCGGCATCGCTAGGCTTGCCATTCGAGCGTATGCTACCGCTAGGTACCTGGCCCTTGGAGGCTATGTCGAAGGGCCGTATTTCGTGATCAGGGGCATAGTGGCGGGCTGCTCGTTCGCCACTAGCTTGATCAGAGTTTTCGCGTTGGCCAGCTTCGACTCGCTCCCGCGTTTGCCAGGCTTGGACTTCGATGCGTATGTGGACGACCTGGGCCTCAGCTGCACGGGCAGCGCCAGGCAGGTCGTTCGTGCGCTGGTGGGCGGAGCCCGAGCGCTGCGCAAGTGCATCACTGATGAGCTGCAGTGCCTTCTAGCCATGGACAAAGTGGGGATGGTTGCCAGCAACAATGAAGTCGCCTCTCAGCTCCTCCAGAAACTTGGGCCCCTGGCTGGCCAGGGTGTGGGTATTGGAAGAGTTACGAACTTGGGGGTTGACTACACTGCGGGCCGTTCCCTGAGGGCGCCTGGCCGTGGCCGCGCGGCTAAGTTTAAAGCTCGTCTTGCGACTGCGCTGCGCAAGACCAGGAGGCTCAAAAAGATTGGGGACGTCCTCGGGAGGCGCTGCTTGAAGGTGTTTGCTGCGGGACCCCTGGCTGGTGCGTCCTACGGGTCTGACATCTTCGGAGTGTCTGACGCCGAGCTCCTGACCTTGCGTCGTGCTGCTATGTCGTGTGTTAAGCCACGCTCGCAAGGGCGTTCCCTGGCCGTGCTCAGGCTGCTTGAGGGGGGCCCGTGCTGGTGAGCGAGTGTGGCGCCTATTATCAGATGGTCGAAAGAAAACTGGCTGTGCCACACTCGGGCGTTTCCTTGGTGCTTGTCTTGGGCGGATCTGCGCGAGGGCTGGATACAGACCTTCAGCCACGACAGCCATTCGTGGTCTAAGGTTCGTGGCCCGCTCTCGGCCCTCCGCATGTGTGTCTACCGTCTTGGGTGGGACATGCCAGACTTCACTACCCTCAGGGATGACTTCGGGATGGACATCTCGCTGACGCTTCCCCCCCCCCCCCCCCGCCTTGTCAAGGTCTTGTGTCGTGACGCGGTGCTCAGAAACCTGGAGAGGGATTCTGGGGATAAGTACGGGGTGGGATACAGGCTGTGTTGGGATGTGGTCAAGCAGCAGCTCTCGTCGTCCAAGATCCCCGCCAAGGCCAAGGGTGTCATGAGAGCTCAAGCTGGTCGTGCCTTTTGGACAGGAGTCGATGCTGAGGCGGCTGGCTATTTCGAGGTGTCGAGTCTCTGCCCGTTATGTGGTGTCGCGAAGGACACCTTGCACCATCGCCTATTTTGCTGCACGGCGTGCAACGAGCAGCGCAAGGAAGTGCTACCCGAGTGGCTTGTGGAAGCTGCATGTGATACGTCGGACCCTGAGTATGAGGAAGAGCTCTTTCTGTATGGGGCGTTCCGTCACCCTGGAGATGTTGCCCCAAGACCCCTGTGTGATGGTGGTGTCTCTCTTGTGTGGCATGTCGAGGACCTCCCTCCTCCTCCTCCTGCGTGTGGTGCTGACAGGGTGGCTCCGAGGGATAGCATGTGGGGATATTTGTTTATGGACGGCTCTTGCCACAGGCATGTGGTTAAAGAACTGTCGCGTGCGGGCTGGGCGGTGACCATGGTGGGGAAAGATGGCGAGCTCCTAGGTGTCCTCAAGGGGCCTGTGTGGGCCCCTTGGCCTCAGACCCCCCCAGGCCGCCGAGTATGCTGCGTTCGCGTTCTGTGGGGCCTATGCCGATGCTCCGTCCGCGTGCTTCAGTGACTGTCAAAATGTTGTGGATCACGTGGCGCTCGGTGCTGACGTGCTCTGTGGTAGGAGGCAGTATTCCGGTCTCGTGCTTCAAGGCAAGCGCCATTTTGGAAGGAACCTGCGTGCTCTCCACAAAGTGTCGGCACACAAGGATGTCGATGAAAGTGGCATTTCGGCCAGTGAACGTTTCAGACGGCTCGGCAACCGCTTTGCTGACCATGCTGCCAATGAGGCGGCACTGCTGCACCCTTCCTTGACCCCTGTTGAGGCTGATGAGCTCGATAGGAAGATCAAGATAGCGCGTCTGGTCTTAAAAGCGGGGTCTGTTTTATTACCCTTGTGGCCGCGTCTTGAGTTTCGAGGCACCGCCAGGTCCAGGCTCCCTCCTGCTCCTCGTCACCCTCCTCTGGAAGTTGGGCACTCGTGGGTGCAAGTTGGGTCCTTCTGGCAGTGCCGAGTTTGCCTTAAGGGCTCTCGGGCGCGGGCCCCTCCTCCTGGGGACTGTTCAGGACACTCCAGGCTGGACCAAGGTGTGCTGCTGAGGTTGGGGCACAAGGTCGTGGCATTCCCCTGCTCCGAACTTTCGAATTTGTTTGTTTGCTTGTCTTGCAAGTTTTACAGCAGCGGCTCGCAAATTCTGAAGCTCGGCAAAGTTTGTGGCCAGCCCACCATCACGTCAATCCGCAACTTGCGCAAGCTAAAAAAGGGCTTGCATCCTGACAAGGCTCAGGTGACAGTTGACATTGATGACTGTGTCGCGTTGCTATAGGAGCTTGGCTCCTCGGTGCCTGTTTGAGCCTCGGACAGGTGCGTCGGTTACTGCAGGAGGCATGGGCGTTGCTGCCAGAAAAAAGAGGAGAAGGAGGAGGAGGAGGAGAGGAGGAGGAAGAGGAGGAGGGGAAGAGGAGGAACAGGGAGAAGAGCAGGAGGAGGACCAGTGTAAACCCAAGACCCGCCAAAGATGTTACAATAAGCCCTCCCTCTACGTTCCCTCTTCTTGGGCCCCCACAAGAATTGATTCAAGTGGCTTGCGCTATCCCGCCGACCCCCCAGAAAGTGCGAGTGTTTGCGACGATCTTGGAATTTACTTAGTGGGCCAGGAGCTTCTTGGATGCATTAGAGGGGCTCGTGGGATGCCCTTCAGGGACCTTTTGGATGGCTCTTGGGGGCAGCTGGGGGCCTTTGGGGCCTTCTTGGGGGCCTCCTGGGGGCTTCCTGGGGACCCCTGGCGCCTCGGGGGCGTCGGGGGGGCTCTTGGGCCATCTTGGGGAAAGAGGCTCGACATGTCCGTTCGGATCCCCTTCTTGGGCCCCTCTTAGGGCCCTCTTGCAGCTCTCTTGGGCTTCCGGGGGGCCTCAACGGCCGTCTCGGGACCCTCGTAGGCTGTCTTGGGGCCCCCGGGACGATCTTGGGGCCCCTTGGGCCGTCTTGAACGTTGCCAAAACGACAAAAGTGAATATGTTGAAAAGGTACGTCTTCCCCAAAGGAGTGGGACGATTTTTGCCTTTTGAGGCCCTCTCGGCGCTTGGGCCGTCTTGGAGGCGCGTGGCCCTTCTCGAAGCCATCTTGGACCGTCTTGGGGCGACCCTGGGCCGTCTCGACGCTCTCGTGGGCTGTGTTGGCGCTCCGTTTGGGCTCGCTCGGGTCACATCGAGGCTCTTCGGAGGCTCCGGAAGCTTCGGAGTGCCTGTGGGAGCTCGCCGACTCGCCTCTTTACCCCCGCACGGACCCCCCTTGTATTCCGATGTTGGGCCCTCGGTGTGGAGGTAAGGGGGGGGGGCAGCCAAATGTTCCACACGCCTTTTGAATTACCCCTGGCAAGTGGGGGTCGGCGGATTGTCACTGCTGGAAGTGCCCCGCTGGAAGACATATGCATGAAAACCCAGAAACGTGCCAAAACACCATTCCTGGGAGTTCAACGCCGCGAAGCAGTCACTGTTGCGTCCTGACGATCCTGAATCGTGCCAGAACGCCAGTCTTGGGACTTCAACACCGCGAATCAATGTGACTGTTGCGCCCTGACTGTCCTACATCGCACCAAAACGCAACGTGTGGGATGTCAGCCGCAAGAACCCCAGAAATTGCGCCAACCTCCTAAGACGAGAAAGTGCGGCGCTGCGGCGGCCACAATTTGAAAAGGAACCGCCCGCCATCCGTTATACGATTGCAAACGTTTAAGACGAATGTGCACGGCGCCCAGGCAGCCACATGTTGAAAAGGAGCCGTCGTCCGTGAAATGCATGCGTTGGTTTAAGACGAGTGCGCGCTGCGCTGAGGCGAGAACCGCGTTTTGGAAACCGCCCACCCTCCATCTGTGAAGCTATTACAAAAGGCTAAGACGAATGTGCGCGGTGCGATGACGAGAGCCACATTTCGAAAACCGTCCGCTCTCCATGTGTGTAGCCTTTGCAAACTTGGAAGACGAATATGCGTAGCGCTAAGGCGAGAGCGACATGCTGGAAAGGAGCCGTCTTCCATCCGTGCAACTCATGCTACATGTTAAAACGAATGCGCACTGCGCTAAAGCGAGAGCCACACTTTGAACACCGCGCCCGCCCTCTATCTGTGGAATTGCTGCAAATCCTAAGCTTAAGGATCGCGAATGGTGAGGAAGTCTCATGCGAAAGGCCCGCCCGACTGGTGCGACAGGGAGGAGCTATTGATATGGAAAAAGGGCTGAAGATGGCGAGGAGGGGGGGAGGGGGGGGGAACACGGCAGAAGAGAAGCAATTCCCGAGCAGAGCAGCACGCACCACGACCACGACGATGGCGACGACAACGACGACGATGTGCGCCTGCGATTCGCAACGAAACACGGATTCGGGAAAGGGCCCATCCTGCGAGGTCTGGTACACAGCACATCGTTGAGCGGTGTTTCGGCCTCCCCCCCCCGGGCACGGGCTTCCTTTGGAGCAACAGCCACACACTTCGGGTTTGCTCTCAAAGGCCTTGCTGAGCTCGTGGGCGCGTTCCAGCACGTTCTCCGTAACCTCGTCCGGGCCACCGACATCGGAGAGGGCAGCGGTGGCCGACGCGTCCCAGAGCTACGAAGCTCTAGGCCCCGCAGCTTTGAGAGCTGCGAAGACAGGCGGACGGACGGACACAATGGGAGGAAGAGGCGGAGAAAGCGGAGGAGGAGGAGAAAGGAGGAGGCGGAGGAGGACGAGACAGAGGAGGAGGAGGAGGAGGAGGAAGCGGAGGAAGAGGAGGAGGAAACTGAAGAGGAGCAGGAAAAGGAGTGGAAGGTGGAGGAGGGAGGGGGAGGAGGAGGAAGAGGAGGAGAAGAGGAGGAGGAGGAGGAGGAGGAGGAGGAGGAGGGTGAGAGGGGTGAAGGAAGAGGAGGAGGAGGAGGAGGAGGAGGAGGAAAGGAAGGAAGAGGAGAAGGAGAGGGGGAGTTCGGAAGCCCCCGCCAGCGGGGCCGAGGTTCCCCCCGCGGTGGTCATCAACGGGGGCTGCGCCATGAACTTGCCCACGCAAGTTTTCTGGCCCGACCACGCGCCGTCCTCGGCACTCCCTAACATCCCTCATGTTCCTTTCTTCTGCAGGTTCGGTGTTCCAGGACCGAGGATCGCCAGAGCCCTTCAGAGGCCTATGGGAACCTCGGGGGTACCTGGTAGCTTCTTCGTTCTCTTCCTCATTCCTCGCGTGTCCTTCCTCTCTGCATGGCACGCATACCCTCCTGTATGCTGATTGGATGAACTTCACGTTTGTAGCCGCTGCGGGTGTTGTGCCAGAATATATGCTGACAATTTGGCCTTGGAATGTTTCCAGCTGCAGAATTGAGAAGGGTTTGTGGCCGCACCCCAAAGGGATGCCTAGAAAGATCCGCGAGGCGTTGCACCAGAAAGATGCGCAGCGCGCTACTGTCGAGGCCAAAAACAGAAAAACAGAGTTAGGTGCCCGTACAGTGTACGTCTCAGGTAGTCCTTCCAGGTGGTGATCCTCATCCTCTTTCGAGGTCTTCGAGGGTCAGATGGGTGGGGATCAAGGATCGATGGCAGGGGATCAAGAGGAATCCAGGATCGAGGATCCAGGGGGAGGAGGGGAGGCGCGGGGAAGGATGGGACTCAATCCTCCACCTCCTCCTTGTCCTCCTTTTCCGCCTCCGCCTCCGCCTCCTCCGTCTCCTGAGTGTGACGCCCGACACGTTGTTCCACCGCGTCCCAATCCAATCAACCTCCTCCTCCTCCTCCTCCTCCTCCTTCTCCTCCTCTGCCTCCTCTCCCTCCTCATCCTCCTCCTCCTCCTCCTCCTCCGGCTCTTCCTCCTCCTCCTCCTCCTCCGGCTCTTCCTCCTCCTCCTCCTCCTCCTCCTCCCCCATCCCTCCTCCTCCCTCCTCTTCCACCTCCTCTCATCTCCTCCTCCTCCTCCTCCTCCTCCTCCTCCTTCGCCTCCTCATCCTCATCCTCATCCTCATCCTCTTTATCCTCCTCGTCCCGGGCCATGGGGAGGGTTTGGTAGCTTAGCAGTTGAGTGGGCCATGGCATCGAGGACGTCGATTTGATCGATTAACCGTAGAGGTGCGCAAGGTGGAAGTAAGAGAATATCAATATGTAAGATCGCTTGGTAGCTCGACAAAGAACCCCTCGTGTTCCCCCCCCCTCCCCCTCGTCCTTCTGTGAAGCAGCAGGAGGGGCCATGGCTGGCGAGCCGAGGCGATCACATTCCTGCTGATGGGCGGGCAGGACAACTTCCGTGGTGATTTCTCGCACGAGGACCCCCCCGTCACGAGGGGGGAGAATGTCAAGAGGGTTGCGAAGGGGTGTCGCGGAGGGGGCGTCAGAAGAGCAGGAGGAGGAGGAGGAGGAGGAGGAGGAGAAGAAGGAGGAGGAGGAGAAGAATGAAGGGAAATAAGACGCGAAGGGAGGAGTAGGGAGAGCGGGAGGGGGCAAGTCAGGAGGAGGAGGAGGAGGAGGAGGAGAGGAACGACGACGACGACGACGACTACCCTCTCTCTTTCTTTTGTTCGTTTATTGTCTCTCTCTCTCTCTCTTTCTCTCTATCTCTCTGTCTCTCTGTTTCTTTTTTTTTTTTTTTTTTTCTCTCTCTCTCTCTCTCTTATCTCTCTCCCCCTCTCTCTCTCCATATATTTATACAGATATACATATATAAATATCTATATATATATATATATATATATATGTGTGTGTGTGTCCGTGCTTGCACTGAAAAGGGGTCCTAGCGGAGATTGAAAGATTTGGCGAAAGTTTCCCGCCGATTTTGGTAGCAGGCTGGGTTCCCGGGTTCCCGGTCCCGGGTTCCCGGGTTCCCGGGTTCCTGGTTATTGGTTCCGGACCGAGTTCGGTGGGTTTTGGGTTCCCGGGCTCCCGGGTTCCCGGTCGATCTCCTCAGCGCAAACCATCCATTGTTTGGGGCTTTTCTTTGGTGTAATGTATATAAAATTGCCATCGGCCCATCCCGCCACCGTGCCTGGGTTGTGGGTCTGAGGCATCTTGGATGTTCGTTGGGGTCTCGTCGAGGCCTTTCGGGGGCCTCCTGGAGGCAGTTTTGAGGCCTCTTGTGGGCTGTGCTGGGGCCTCTTATGGGCCTCTTTCGGGCCTCTTGGGCTTTGTGGGGACCTCGTCGTCGTCATCGTCGTCATCGTCCTGCCCCTTGCGTCGCCGCAGCCGGGACTGGGACCGAAAGCGCTGCTGCGTCAAGTCCGGTTGCGTTGGAAAAGGGAGGTGGGGAGCGAGGGAACATCAGCAGCCATATCAGTTCCCCTTGCTCCAAACCAAAGTAAGGCGCGAGGGTCCAAGTACAGTTCGCCTCGAGTGGTTTAGAATAGATGTTTATATGTGAATGTACATGCATCTATACATTATATACATACGCTTAAGAAGCTAACGCCATTCCGCCGAGACCCAGCGGAGCAGGCAGAGGCGTCAAGGTCGTTCGCCAGCGTCATGTTGGAGCTGAAGTGATGTGGTTCGGCGCGGGTCCGAGGGCTGGGATGTTGGCACGGGTGGCGTTTAGCTTTGGCGTAGGGTGTAGGTTGGATGCTGTGACAAGAGCACGTGTCTCACACGTCCGGGTGCCTTCGGGCACGGAGGTACGATTGGAAGGTAAAGAGGCGGACAAGGAAATGGATGACGACGACGACGACGACGACGAGCACGAGCACGAGGACGTCGACAACGAGGTTTTGTAGAAAGCTATTGGGGTCTCTTGCGGTTTTGTAGGGTGGATTTTTGGAGGCCTCGGTTGGATCCCCTTGGGATCATTTTCAAAACTCTTTGGAGGCTTCGGGGGCCTTCTTAAATTGTTTTGGGAGCCTCCTGGGGGCATGCTGGGGGTCTTCGGGGCCGTCTTGTGGGTGAGGGCCCATGGGCTTCTTCGAGCCCCCTTTTTGAGCCGACTTGGGACCCTCGTGGGCCGTGTCTGGACTCTCGTGGGCACCTCGTGGGCCGTTTTTCGGCCAGTGTGAGAGGTTTCTCTGGCCGTTTTGGGGGCTCACAGAGGCTCGAAAAAAACGAGATCTCGAAAATCAGCCAAACATTGAAAACCTTGGGTGTGTTTTGCCCCTTGAGGCCCTCTTGGGGATCGACTTGGAGCCCGCCTGGGGCGTGTCGGGAGCCTTTTTTCGGGCGGTCTTGATTCGATCTTGGGTGATCTTGAGGCGCCTCCAGTTTGTTGGAGTATGGTTGGGGCCGTCTTGGGAAATATGCTGAGCAACTCAGAGGCGACGGAGTGTGGGTTTGGAATATATGAGGGCATGTATACACCTATGCATGTATATATTCATAGGTTCGGATGTGGGTATGCGTGTAGACAGTCATAAACATACGCACATGTCGATCACCTGCCATATACACAGGTATAGTACATGTATGCGCATGTGTATGATGTATGTATATATACACATGTAGATGTACATATACATATATATATGTATATACACATATGTGTATATGTGTGTATGCACGTACGGTTCTATGTATACATATGTCCCTCCTTCTCTCTCTCTCTCTCTCCCCCTCCTCTCTCTCTCTCTCTGTCGTCCCTCACTGTCTCTCTCTACATATATACGGATACACGTGCATATCTTGCCTGTTGGTTCTCTCTCTCTCCCTCTCTCTCACTCTCTCTCCGCTCGTACTCTGGGAACCCTGAAGACCAGCCAGTCGTCAGAATCGGCGCATTGTTTCTCCAAGATCGGGAAACCAGGGACCCAGGACTCCAGGGATCACAGACGGCTACAGAAGTCAGCAACAATTGTTGAGCAAAGTCGCTGCAATACTGGGATCGCAGGATCCTTGCCGCTTCATGAAATCGGTTTCAGATTTTCGCCCAGCCCTTACAATCCTCGCGACGGTCCTTTTAAGTGCAAGCATCAATGGGGAACATGCAAGTTTGGGAACCGAGGAAAGCAATGTGTCATCAACTTTCCCCATCCCGACTCCCCCTCTCCCGTCCTTTCCATTCTTTGCCGAAAAGTTTGCCAACCAACCGACCTTTGCCCTCCCGCTGTCCCATCCCATCGCCCCATCCATCTGCCCCATCACTCGCCCCCGTCCCATTCCCTCTCCGTCTCCCCCCTTCCACTCACCCTTCCTCCCACTTCCTGTGATCAGTCTACTCTCCCGACCCTTCGCCTCCCACCCTCCCACCCCCCACTCCATCCATCTCTCCTACCCCTTTGCCCCACCCACCCGCGAGTCTCCTCCATCCCTCTCTCCATTACCCCATCCAGTTTCCCACACACCCCCACACCTCACAAAGGAGGAGGAGGAGGAGGAGGACGATACAGAGGAGGAGGAGGAGGAGGAGGAGGAGGAGGAGGAGGACCAGTGTAAATTCAAGACGCATCAACGATGTTGCCAGAAACCCTCCCTCCAAGGTCCCTCTTTATGAGCTCCTGCAAAACATGATTCTCAATGCGGGAATTGCTCATTGGAAGACAACCGTGTGAGAATCCTCAACCGCGTCAAAACACCGTTCTTGGTACTTGAGCGCCGCGAACCAAGGTTACTTCTGCGCCCTCAAGAGATTTGAATCGCACCAGAACACCACTCCTGGGATTCCTCCACCACGAATCAACGTAACTGTTGCGTCCTGGCAAGCCTGAATCGAACCAGATCACCGTTCCTGGGACTTCAGCAAAACGAACCCTTGAAATTGCTGCAAGCGTTTAACACGAATGTGCGATGCGCTCCGGCGAGAACAACAGGTTGGAAAGGAGCAGCCCTCCATCCTTGAAATTGTTGCAAAATGTTTGGGCGAATGCGCGCGGCGCGAAGGCGAGAGCCACAGTTTGGCAATTGGCCGCCCTCCTCCATTGAAACTGCTGCAAACTTTTAAAGACAAATTTGCGCGGCGCGGAGCAAGAGCCACATTTTGAAAGCCATCCGCCCTCCATGTGTGAAACCGTTGCAGGTTGCAAGCGTCAGGGCCAGAAATGGTGAGGAAGTATCAGGCGAAACGTCCAGCCCGCCCTGCCGACACGACGGTGGGTGCGACAGGGGGGAGTTCATACAAGGAAAGGGGGTAGAGGACAATCCAGGTGCGCTCGCGCCACATCTGACATCCTAGCCATCCCTCCCCCGTCCCTCACATCTGCATCCGCGGACGCGTGCCATAGCCGGCCTGGAACTCCCCCAAAAGACCCCATCGTGTTATGCGCAATCGGGTGAGCAGGAGGATCGGCAGGAGGAAAAGGAGGAGCAGAATGCAGAGTATGCGGAATCAGGAGGACGAGGACGAACAGCAGCAAGAAGCAGCGGGAGGAGCAGGAGGACCAGGGGAGGGCGGAGGAGGGGAAATGAGGGGGGCGACGACGATGAAAAATGGCTCGGATCCAGAAAAGTGGCCCGCGCAGGGGCGACAGCGCCAATCTGAACGACGGGAGCAAAGCTCCGATCCGAAATTGAGGCACACGTTGCAGCGATCTTGAAACATTGAACAACATCTGATTGTACAACGATATAAGAGAAATCACCACTGTCGAATCCTCGTTGTGTAAAAAAGCTGTAGGCGAAGAGAAGCGGCTATCTTCTGGACGGTGCCAGGCAGGAGAGGAGAGTAGTATTCATAATGTGCTATTGAGGAGGAGGAGGAGGAGGAGGAGGAGGAGGAGGAGGAGGAGGAGGAGGAGGATAGAGGAGCAGCAAGCACGTGGGAAGACGCGCCGAGTTCGGATTCGGTGGGGAGGAGAGAGAGGAGGAGGAGGAGGAGGAGGAGGAGGAGGAGGGAGGAGGAGGAGGAGGAGGAGGGGGAGGAGCAGGAGGAGGAGAAGGAGGGAGGAGGAGGAGGAGGAGGAGGAAGAGGAGGAAGCCACCGCATACCTATACGACCACCCTTCGGGTGATAAGAGGATTGGGGGGAGAGGAAGGAACCAACTGCTGGCAACTGCGAGGGGTGTGATGATGACGATGTTGGTGGCGCGCCCTCGAGTTGGCGACGACGCGTGATGACGCTGTTGCGCCGCGATGTGGTGTCACGGTCGACCCCGCTATTGATCCCATTCGATTGTTCTCATGACCAGCCTTAGTATCGATGGATCTAGCGATCGATCCCATTAGCGATCTGACATTAAACGGCGCTGAGTACGATCGGGACACCATCGAGCCAACTCAGTACCACCGCCCCTGCGCTGTGATGGATGTTTGCTGACTGTGGTGGTTGAGTGTTGATGGTGGTGTGATGTTTTTTTCTGCACTCACGCCATCGGCTCCTAGTGAACTCGCGCTAGAAGCCCGAGCCCGTCGGAGTTGGCGACCGTGTCGCTGCCAACACTGTTCATAACCCGACAGAACCTGGCATTGTTCGGGCCACAGAGTTTGTCAGAACGCGGGCCTAAGAAAGCATTCCCGTTGCTCTTGCGCGCTCGCTGCTGTTGGAGCGCGCACTGTTTGCGCTTACATACATTGCGCGGCCTGCCTTCATGCTAGACACCACTGCGTCAACACCAGAGGCAGACCCACTCCGAAGAAAGATGCTCACCACGTGCGCGGCCAGGCTGGGACACGCTCTTCTCCCTTCTGTCACGGCGGCAGTAGCGCCTCTATACCGCGCGCGCATTACGCAGGTGTTCTGGCTTCATTCCCGAGAGCTCGCCTGGCAGAGCTTGGGCCGGGCCGTTAGCGGGCCACCAGAACCCGAGGTCGCGAAGCTGTCTTGCAACCTGTGCACTGAATTCGTGCGCGCGCAAGTGCACGTACGGCGTCAGTGTAAAGCGCGGCCCTCCCTCGAAAAGCAAACCTTCCGTGGGGCCACCTGGCATTGAACAAAACGAGCTTACTTTTGACGACATGCGTTTTGCTTTGGTCGGCAGCGAAGTCGTACACCCACAGGCGGCCACCAGTGAAGCGCCCCACCGCGATCAGCGCAGTCTGGCCTACGTTCGGGTCTTCATGCGCACCTGACTCCGAGGAGCGTGCGACGGCCTTGCTGCAGAACGGCAGCTGCGGCACATGGTGGCGAATGTTGCCAGGCGCTTCGCGAGGACAGGCTGGGCCACTGAGTCCCTCGAAAGACACGGGCCCCTGGACCTGTTAATTGCTTAGTTGCCTCGATACGCCCGTTTTGAAACGCAACACGTCCCGTGTTCAAGACGTCCGTGTCAATACGTTGCGTGCTGGCTCCACGTATTGGACCACGTTTTGGCGAATGTATCGCGTCGGAGCTACGTTTTCAGCCTACGTGTTGAGCTCCGTATCAATACGCTACGTGTTGCGTGTTGCGTATCGGGGCAACTAAGGTTAATTGCCGTCCCCAGTTGGAGACGCGGCCTCTTCCCTAGCGACGGCCTTGGCCGCCGAAGCGACGCTGGCAGCGCCGCATGGCCACACCAATCCTTGTAGCAGGCACTCGAGTCGACTCGGCTCCATACGACCTCTCCGTGCCAACTCGGATTCGTCTAAGTCCAGTGCGCCTGGCATGGGTGGTCGCTGGCAGAGCCTGGCGCCCTGTTGGTCGCTGGCAGAGCCTGGCGCTCCGGGGCAGCTACACGAGCACTGCAGCGCTGGACATGAGCAGCCCTCCGAAAGAACGGACAGGGCGTATGCGCACAGACGAGCCGACACAACATCGGCGGCCACCGAAAGCTCAAACACTCCGCCCAATCCAGGGATAGCGCGGACATCGAAGGCCCAAACACTACCAGGACGCCACGGGGCCATGTCTCTCATTCGATCGATCTCATGTTTGATCTCTCTCTCTCTCCCTCTACATCTCACTAGTGACCCTTCTATCGATCACACTATCGATCGCCCTATCGATCACCAAGGGGCACCGGTGGGACTTCGACGGGGCACCGAAGGGACACCGACGGGACACCCGCGGGACACCAACAGGACATTGACGGGATACCACTGGGCACCATCGGCACGCCATCGGGACACCAATCGATCTCATGTTCGATCTCCCTCTCACTATCGGCCCCACTATCGATCTAACAATCGATCTCACCTCGGGACACCGGCGGGACACCACGGGACACCGACTGAACGGCGACGGGACGACGACGGGACAGCCGCAGAACACCGACGGGACACCGACGGAACACAGACGGGACACCGGCGGGACACCATGGCGGCACAACCCGGCCACCGCCCGCCCACCGCAGGGGAGAGGCGGACAGCGACGGGACACCACGGCGGGACAGTCCGGCCACCGCCCGCCCACGTGGGAGGGAGTAGGGGCGGTCAACGGCTATTGACCCGCCCTAGCCACACCAGAGTCATTCTTCTCGCACGCCCACGCAGCCCGAATCCGAAACTGATTTCCCAGTGGGGGGCTCTCCGTCCCACTTCGATCTTGCCCCCCAACCTCCAATCACATCCTTTCCCCCACCCATCACCTGGCGTCGCGCCGCCCGTGCCAGGAGTACCTCGAGGACGCGATCAGCCGGGTCCCGCCTGGGAACGGCACGACGGCGATAGCTTCCCGGGGAGGATTGAACGAGAAAGGACGTCGAGATCCGTACGTCACAGTTTTGTCGCACCGTGCGGTTTGGCCGAGTTACGGGCCCCTCACGTATCGAGCCAGCGCGAGAGACGCCGCGGAATGATGCGGCCTAGGGGCTCGGTCCTTCAATTCTGCGACGTCGGATCTCATGGGAGGGGATGGGGAGGGAGGATGGAAAAGGAAGCGGACGAGGAGGAGGAGCAGCAGGAGGCGGCTTGCTCCTCCTTCCCATCTCGCTCCTGATTATTGTTCACGCTATTCATGCTCGTGCCTTTGCTCTTGCCGCTGTCTGATCTCGTCTTGCTCCGTTCCCCCCGTCTCGTCTGGGACGATTTGGGGCGACGCAAAGGCGATCCTCTACGTGAACGAGATGCAGCACATGCCACAGGCGCGAGCCAGCTCCTTCTCCAGCCCTCAGGGGCCCTCAGGACTTGAAGGGGAAGGCGGCTGGTCTGACGCGGCGGGCGCTTCGGGAGGGCCTTCACGATGTGGGGAGCTGCGGGGCGGCGGGGGTGAAACCTCCCCTGCGAAGGCCAAGTCTTATCCGTCTCCCGGGGGGAGGCTGCCACGGTTTGGGTTGCTGGGCCTTTGGGGGTCTGGCTTGGCTGGGCCCTGTGTGGCCTGGCGTTGGGGCATCTTGGCCACTTTGCGCGTGTGCTGTTCCCGTGTGTGGGGAGGCTCTTCCCCCCTCGGCGCGGGGCGGCAGGGCGTTTGCTCTGCGGGGAGGGGGCCCTGCCCCCATGTGGTCAGCACACCCTTGTGCGTCCGGATTCCTGATCCATCGTTCCTCTTCCCTCCCTTCTCCGTCCCCGTTGTTCCTCATCATCATCCTGATCCTGCTCCTCCTCATTCTCCCTCCTCATTTTCCTCCTCCTCATCCTCCTCATCACCACCGCCACCATCATCATCAGCAGCAGCATCATCATCACCACAACCACCATCATCATCATCATCAGCAGCAGCATCATCATCCCACTCCCCGCCCCTCCTCCATCCCTTGAGGATTCTGGAGGCCTCGCAAGGCCCGCAAAGGGTTAGAAACGTCAGAAACAAATTGCCGTCGAACCTCGAACCTCGACACACACACACACACACACACTCCTAGAGCAAGAGGAGCAGGACGAGGCCTGAAAAGGGCCACAGACTTCAAAACTTGCGTCCTCGATCCTCGAAGCGCCTAGAGAAAGAGGAGCAGGAGTAGGAGGAGGAGGAGGAGGAGGCGACGACGACGACGACGTCGACGGCGGCGGCGGCGGTGGCGGCGGCGGTGGCGGCGGCAACAACGGCCACGTCGACGACGACCCGAAGAGGCGCCCCTGCTCGCCGCCGTCCTTCCGCACATGCTGCTGGCCCTCCTTAGATGGCAGGAGCGCGTCTTCCCCACCGCGCGCGCCTCACTGCGCGCGCCGCCGCCGACAACGAAAACGACGGGGCCGACGCCAGACATCCGACGGTCCCGACCCCAGAGGTCCCGACCCCAAAGGTCCCGACCCAGAGATGGTCCCGACCCCTTCGATCGCTCCCTTGGATTCGGTTTGAAAGCTGCTTGTGAAGATGATGCCAGCTACACAGCTGAGGAAGCTGACAAACCATAGCGACCGACGTGCAGGAATGGCATACAGGAGTTGACGATCTTGTATTTTAGGGACTTGACGTGCACTAGTAACTTCGTTGTCGCGGTGCCCTGCCTGGCCGTCCCACCCGGGCTTTTCACCGCACTTATTTTATTCCTCCTCCGACCCCTTCGATCTATGTTTGACGGTCCCGGGGCCCGATGGCAGGCCCCAAAGGCCGAAGTCGAAGACAACGCCGTGGCTGAACAAATCATACCGTCCGGTGTTTGGGGCGACGCCGGCGGCGACAGCAGCGGCGGCGGCGGTGGCAACGGCGGCGACAGCGACGATGACTGCTGCAGCTGCTCGCGGCCGCGCCTCGCCGCGCCTGTGCGCGCGGCCGCCGCCTCCCTGGGGCGGGAGCGCCTCGCTGCACTGGGCCAGCGGCCGCCTCCTCGCTCCGAGGCAGCGGCTCTTCGCCGAGGAAGTGGGAGGATGGCGACGACGACGACGACGCCGACGCCGACGCCGACGACGGCGACGACGACGCCGACGACGCAAACGACGACGACGCAAACGACGACGACGCAAACGACGACGACGCAAACGACGACAACGACGCCGACGATGGCGCAGGCTGGGGCTTCAGCATTGGGGCTGGGCCCCCTCGCCAGGAGAGCCGCGCCCCTCCGCTGCACGAGTTCCGCCCGCTGCTGGCAGCGCTGAACCGGGACGGCTGGTCGGACCCCGCTGTCGCCGTGGCCGCCGCCGCCCGCTGGTCGCCGTGACCGCCGTTGCCGTCGTCGTCATCCTTCTCCGCCTCCTCTTCCTCCCCCTCCTCCTGTATCATCCTCCCTGCTCCGCTTGCGCACGAACGAGCTCGCGAGGGAGCGCGCGAGGAAGAGGATGAGGACCGGAGTAAATCCAAGATACATCCAAGATGCTGCAATATTGGAGTACGTAAAAAAAAGGTTTGGACAAACCACGACGCCGGAGGCGTAGGATCTTCGATCCGCGAGGTCGCTCCAGGGGTCAGAAAGGGGGGAGAGATCTGCCCGGCGGCAGGTCTGGCCGCCTGCTACACACGCGGTCGCCGGGGAATTGGGAGGACGTGACCTTCAGCCCGGTGGAGGCCCGGCAACCGTCGTCGTCCTTCTCCTCCGCCACGCGCGTCCGCTATTCGGTCGGTTCGGTTGCGTCGCGTTCGGTCGGTTTGGTATCGCTGCTGTGCCGCTGCGCCCTTTCAGGCCTGGATCGCGGCCTGGCTGTTTCGGTCGGGTTCGGTCTCGCTGACCAGCCACAGGACCAGGGAGTCTTCGGGGGGGCACTGTGGTCCCCTCCTCTTGCCGCGCGCGAGGGAAATGAGGAGGCCAAAAGTTGGGACCGTGGCATCCCATGCCCCTCCCTGTCCTCTCCGCGCTCGCCCTGGATCCCTCGAAGCTCTCCAAGACGGCTCAAGAGGCGCCAAGAGGGCCCCGAGATGCCCGAAGGGGACCCTCAGAGCCCCAGGTAGGCCATGAGGGGCCCTGAACACGTTCCCAAGATACCCCCAGGAGGCCATTCCTTGCATGCGCATGTGGATTTCCACTTGTTCTTAGGTCCGGAAAGGGTGTGATAATGGATTCGTCGTGGGGTCAGTCTTGTGAGGGCCCCGAGGTCCTTCGGATGCCTCGAGAGTGCACCACGAGGCCCGCCCCTGTGACAGCCCAAGGGGCGCTCAAGACGGTCCCAAGAAGATCCCAGGAGGGTTCCAAGGGGCTCTAAGAGACTCCTACGAGGGCCTGCAGACGATCCACGAGACAAGCTCAACGGCACCGAGACCTCAAGGCAGCCCCAACGGGCCCAAGAAAGCCCCAAAAGCTGCTTACGCGTGTAGCTGGTCACGCGTATCTGGAGCTCTCCGAGCGAAACTTTGGAGAACTCTTCGTGATCAGTTTCGTGGGTCGTGAGCTTTTCTTGAGTGGGCCTCCGTATAGGTTTGGCTACGACACGTAGTCCTGCATGAAATGTCGGTTGCCAATGCGCCTGGTAAGTATTGGACATATGCGAGCACCGTCGTGGATGGGGCGGGCATTCACACAGGACACCCCCCGTAGAAAGAAGAGGGAGAGGAGTAAGATAACGAGGTAAAGAAGAATATTGAGCAGGATGTGAGTCACGGAATGGAGGAGAAGGAGGAAGAAGAGGAGGAGGCGGAGGAGGAGGAGGAGGAGGAGGAGGGGAGGATGAAAATCCAAAGGTGGAGTGGGGAAGGAGGCGAACCAATAAGGGGGGGCAACACGGCGGAGGAGAAGGAGGATGAAGGCGGTGAGGGCGAGGGAAGGATAGAAGGATGAAACCAAGGGCGAGCATGGATGTGGAGAGGCAGGGTGAGGCAGGAATGCTAACCATGTGAGAGAGATAAAGAGAGTGAGAGAGAGTGAGAGAAAGAGGAGGGGGGATAAGGGAAATAATGATGATGATGATGATGATGATGATGATGATGATGATGATGATGATGATGGTGATGGTGATGGTGATGGTGATGGTGATGGTGATGGTGATGGTGATGGTGAGGAGGAGGAGGAGGAGGAGGAGGATAATGCGGACTTAGGGTAAGTTCAGCATCGCTATCTGACTGCGACATGCTGCGTGTTCTAGCTGCCCGTGCGTGTTCATCCACCGCGCAACAGTACTCCCCCGCGCCGCAGTCAGCATCACATTCGCCCATGCAGCGCATGAGGAAACCAGGATGACTTCATCCATAATGTCCCACTCGCTGTCAGTATGATCTGAATTGGGGCGGGGTCGACGTCAGGAGCTGATCTTAGCATGTTGCTCCGTTGGCCCTGGCCCACCGCGCTTCGGCGCGACACGCTCATAATCACGTCCCACTCGCCAAGCGTCAACGTTCCGAGCTCGTCGCAGCCTCTCGCCGATCGAGGCAGAGCGTCACGCTATCTGCGTGCAGGGCATAGCGTGTCGCCAGGGCCGCCGCCGCGACACGCTAATCAACAGATCCCGACCTTAGAACCTGAGCTCGCGCGAAGCGCGCGCGAGGTACTAGGATGTGTTCCTCTGTATACCTATTTACTTATGATGTATACATAGTTGCGTATATCCGTGCGCATACAGAACTAAGGCACATACCTACAGCACAAAAGTGCACATGAGCCCATCGAGTCGCGACATTCTAAGCTGCGCATGCGTGCAAACACATGCCCGTTTTTGGTGTGTTACAGCGCTACTGATACCCTCATGGATATCAACGCGCTCGCTTTCACAAAACGAGACGTCATCACGAGCAGCAACACCACCATCAACCCTAAATGCATCCTTCGCGTATATGGTTCAAGGCATGCTGATCCAGCTTGGGCCTCAGCGTGAGGCCTAGCTACTGAGTCATTGCATCGATTCCCCCCAACAGTGCTTTAGGGTCTCTGACGTGTTTTAGGAGGAACTGGGTCTGCGTGTTGGTCCAGCGACACTGTCGCCGCCCCGTCGCCGCCTCGTCGCAGCCAGTCGTCTGGGCCTGCGTGTTAGTCCAGCGGCTATTGTCTGCATAGCATAGATTGCACAGCACATACTGCACAGCATAGATCGCACCACAGGTGGCACCACATGTATTGCACCACATCGATTGCACCGCATACATTGCACCACATACGTTGCACCACAGACCTTCCCCTTCGAAAAAGAAAATAGGTTCTACCATCCTCCCCACCCCGGATTTATCGATTCCACGGGAACCCATGCAAAACACGCATGATTCTGACCAAATGTCCATCATACCTGTGAATTCATACTATCCCAGGCAGGCCGGTATCGGTCCCCCTTCGGTCCCTTTGCAAAAAATACTACGCGCGCATATTCGTTTATCAAAAACCATAAGTTTTCAAGAACCCCTTGCAACAAATGGGACGAAGTGCACACACGCGCGTCGTCGCGCGCGCATGCCGAAATTCTTCCCAAAACCTTCGGTGTCAGAAGGATTTCAAAATCGAGTGTCCAAAAACATAGATAAACATATAAGGGATTGAAACACGGATTATCAGCAAAAGCGTGCGCGCGATCTTGCGAATTCTTAAGAAATTCATAAGTTTGCCAACATGTTCAAGAAAGGCTACCAAATGGGTTTCGCGCGCGCATGTCGAAATTGTTCGAACACCCTTGCGCGCGTGCTGGGGTGGCACGATCCGTGCCAAATAATACCATGCGAGCCACTCTCGCGCGTGTGCCGCGCGCGCAGTTCGAATTCCTTCCGAAACCTTCATCCCCGACGCGAAGACGCCGTCATCGCCGTCGGCGTGATCAGCATCGGCGCCGTCACTGGCTGCCCAGTCGTCGCTGTCACCATCGCCACCAGCATCGCTACTATCATCACCGTGCCTGCAGTTGTCGACGAAGCCATGATACCGCGCCCGCCCATGTCGCCGACTTGCACTGAAGCGCTCGTTGGGCAATGCCCAGCGGTCAGCGCCACCGTGGCCGCGCCGGTCGCGCCAATCTAGTTGGCCGCTGCGCGCGCGAGCATGCGCGGGCTAGCGCGGCCGAAGGGATGCACCAGCCAACACGCAGCTCTCATCGCAATCGCTCCCGCATGGGTTTTGCAAATCAAGTTGCGGGTGGGTGGGTGAGATGATTGCGCGAGCAGTGAAATTGACAACTTCAAGTTCGGCATGTGAAATACGCCACATAGGGTGCAGCACATATGTTGCGCACCGCATACATGGCACCAAATATATTGCACCACACACACACGCACACACACAAATGTATATATATATGTATATATATATATATATATATATTGCACCACATGAATTGCACAGCGTACACTGCACATCACAGATTGCACAACTTAGATTGTACCACGCGTGTTATACCACATAGGTCCATCCACAAATTCTGCACCAAATAGTTTGTTGTAAACACATTGTTACGGGAACCCGTTGGCTTACATGGGTATTAGCAAACAGAGTTATTATCCAATGTGGCTTGTCCAAGGGATTCCTGGATATGCGTTTGGAGAGGCGGTGGGTAACAGGCTTGCGCTGGCCTGCCTTCCTCGGGTTGCTTGGTCTTGTTTCATTGTTGTGTGGTGGGGGCTTCCGCGGGTTGCTACGTCGTGTTCCCTGATGCGTCTGAAGAGGCATTCCTCGGGTTGTTTGGTATTGTGTCCTTACTGCATTCCTCGGGTTGCTCAGTTTTGCTTCCGAGCAGCGCCAAACAATGGCAAGCAATTCGAAGCAACACCGAGCAACGCCAAGCAATGGCGAGCAACGCCGAGCAACGCCAGGCAATCCCTTGCAGTGCAAAGCACTCCAATGCCAAGCAACGCCGCGCAATGTTGAACAATGCCAAGCTACGCAAAGCACAGCGAAGCAAAGCAAAGCAAGGCGGCACCAAGCAAAACCAACCAATGCTGCTTAGAAATCGTTCCCCTAATTTGGGCCGTGCAAGATCCATTATTTTTCCATCGGCCGCAGTTCAGAGGTGCATCCTGTGAGACTCACGTTGTTGCTGCAGTATGTGCGCAATCTGCTGAACTACATGTTAGAACGAAGTATCTGCTAGCTCTCAAACATACAGGATATCTGAGAACAGCAAGAGAACATGAACAGTCAACTGATGACCAGTCGATCACCCATTGAGCCTGAGCCACTTCGTGTGTTTAAACAGCTCGCCTTAACATTGTGGATTCGCAGTGGCTTTGCCCGCTGTGAAGATTATGAATTTTGTATCGTTGATTTGTTATTGCTTTCGAGGTGATACAAGAGATTGGACCACTGCACTTCTGTGATGTTTGATACCGCGCAGCTGCTCGAAGCATTACGGGTTCTCACAATTCGACTTCCCGAGTTCCATGAAGCGCGGCAGAATCATTATCAAGTTTGACGAACAAAAAAAATCCACTTCCCGACTCCTAGTCTCTAGCTTTCGACGTACACTGGCGGAGGAGTGCGACTAAGTTTCTCAGCTTCTGACGCCGGATGGCGAACACTCTCCCTCACACCCTTGCCTCACCAACCTCCGAGCGCCGATGCCGACTACGATCACTAAGGACTCCGGCCCACCCGCGCCTTGCTTAAAAGGCCCCGCACTTCGCGGTCACCGGCGTGCCCCTACCTCCCCCCCACACCCCGTCCGCCA